TGGATGTGGGGCGCAAAGTGCTGCAGAGCTTGCTGGTAGGGCAGAATGGCGGTGGTGGAGTGGCCCAGGAAGGTGGTGTTCCACACCTGCAAGGCCAGGCCAGGCGCATGCATGGCATGCATGGGAGCAGGCGGCGCAGGGCAGCTGCCAGGCAGGGCAGCCGTCGGCGATACGCCTGCCTGCCTGCCTGCCTGCTTCCGCAGTCCGCCCTGCCTCTTCCCAGGCGATGCGTGCAGCGCTGCGCACGCCCCAGCCCGCCCCCACGCCCGCCTGCGCCGCGCGGGCGGCCCGGGGCGCACGTTGAGCAGTCCCAGCAGCGCGGGCAGGTTGTCTTGGAGTGGCGCGGTGCGGAAGTGGTCGTCCATGGCGTGCATGCCCTGCAGGAAGCGCTCCATGACCTGCAGCAGGAGGAGGAGGGGGCATGGCGGGGTGAGAGGCAGGCGGGCGGGCAGGGATGCAGGAGGAGGAGGCCAGCCGGCGACAGACGCGCCGGCCTGACACCTCTGGCCTGATCCGCACCCCCCACACACACGTACACACGCACACACGTGCCCTGGCCGCCCCGCCACCCACCGGGAAGGAGTAGTGCAGCGACAGCGGCACCATGCCGACGGCGGAGGAGACGGAGAAGCGGCCGCCCACCCAGTCCCAGAAGCCAAAGGCGTTGGCGGGGTCGATGCCAAACGCCTCCACCGCCTTGAGGTTGGTGCTGCGGCAGGGCGGGGCAGCCCAGGTGGGGGAGGAGGGCGGGTTGGGTAGGGTGAGTGGGTAGGAGGGTGGGAGGGTGGCAAGCAGGGCGCCCCTCGGCGAGCTGACAACAGCATGCACGCCTGGCCACCAGCCAGCCAGCCAGCAAGCGCCCTTACTCCCCACTCCCCGGCCCCGACTGCCCACCCCCCGCCGCGCCCACCTGACCGCCACCATGTGCTTTGCCACCGCCGCCTGGCCCAGCCGCTCCGTCAGCCAGGCGCGCACGGTGCGGGCGTTGAGCATGGTCTCGGCGGTGGTGAAGGTCTTGGAGACGATGACCACCAGGGTGGCCTCTGGGTCCAGGCCCCGCAGCGCCCTCACCGCATCCACGGGGTCCACGTTGGCCAGGAAGGACAGCTGGCGCCCAGCGGCCTGCAGGCAGGGAGTGGTGTGTGTGTGTGGTGGGGGATGTGCGTGTGAGGGACGTGGGGCTGTGTGGAAGTGGTGGGGCAGAGGGAGGCGTGTGGCAGGGTTCAAACACCAGCAGCAGCGCAAGAGGGATTGGTGGCGCGGTAGGCCAGCGAAGGGCAGGGCAGGGCAGGGCACAATGCATTGCTGCGCTCCTGCTCCTGGCAGCCGCCGCCCCCCACCTGCGCCATGGCCTCTGGCTCGGTTGACAGCGCTGTGTGCACAAACAGGGGCCCCAAGGCGCTGCCGCCGATGCCCACCGACACGACGCTGGTCAGGCGCTTGCCCGTCACGCCCACCCACTCGCCGCCACGCACGCGCTCTGCAGCACGGCCGCCACGGGAGGGCACGGAGCCTTGCGATGCTGGGCTGCCAAGCACAATCAGCCGCTGCACCGCTCTGCCGCCCTCGCCTCGCAGTCGGCACCTCACACACCACCTGCCGCTCTCTTCCTCCACTTCCCCCCAGCCCCCAGCCCCCACCTCCGCACCTCCACCCACCCACCTGTGAAGGCCTTGATCTGGTCCAGCACCGCCCAAACCTCTGGCACCACGTTGGCGCCGCCGTCCTCCACCACGGCGCCTCGAGGCGCGCGCAGCGCGGTGTGCAGCACCGCCCTGCCCTCTGTGGAGTTGATGTGGGCGCCGCCAAACATGGCCTGGATCTTGGGGCCCACCCCCGCCGCGCCCGCCAGCTCCAGCAGCAGCTGCCGCGACGGCGAGGGGAGCGGTTGTTGGGATGTGTGTTTGGGTGGGGGGAGAGAGTGGGGTGTGTTTTGGGTGGAAAGGTGGGGATGGGAGGGCGGGTCAGTAGGGGTGAAAGGCTCATCAGGAGATTCCAATGTGCGTGTGTGTGTGTGTGTGTGCAGGGGGCGACCAGCAGGCGGACAGGAGTCCGGCAGGCGCGGCCACGCCGCCCGCGCCTGGCTGGCCAGCGACCGGCGCCCCCCACACCAAAGCCGCGCCGCACCTTGAGCGTGTCGGGCGTGGCGTTCTGGCGGGAGAAGTCCAGGTACACTCCCCCCGCCTCCCTCACCATGGCCTCGGTGCGGGCATCATCCTCCAGCAGCTCCCTCAGCTGCCTGCACCGCTCGGGCAAGGGGGTGAGCTTCGTGCGCCTGAGCGCGGCCGGGCACGTGTTCCAACCTGCCGCACACGCACTCCCACCCCGCCCCTGTTGTGCAAGCTCAGCATTGGGGTCCAGCTGGGTACGAGCCAGTCCTCTCACTCGCATAGGGCTGAGAAGCAGGCTGCTCAGCAAGGGTGGCGGCAGTAGCGGCGCCGCCGTCTCTTCGCACATGGCGGTGCCAGGCAGGCCCCCGGGGCTACCACCTTCGTCAAAGGTACCGTGATACGAAGGATCCTTGCCTCAGGGCTGCGCACTGCGCTCCCGGCACCCACCCACCCCTTGCTCACGTCTGCTTGATGGCGCCGACGTGGTCTTGCAGCGCTCGCCACTCCTTGCTGTCCGAGATCAGCGAGGATGCCGCCATTTCTGCCCGCTCCCAGTGACTGACTTGCGAAGCCGGTGGCGGCCAGGACCCGAAGGGTTTCGGCGTTCCCTGTGGCGATCCACACTGACCAGCCTCCTCTGTGAGCAGCGACAGCGCGGAACCTTGCTGGTCTCCAATGCGACGCGCCACCTCACGACAGCTAGGCGGTCGCCGCACCGTCACTCCAATGCTTTTGTACCACCCTCATTGATTACCCAACTTGTGTGAAGCCAGGCAGGTGGTCTCACATGTACCCCAGAGCCTGTTGACAATGACGCACTCCCCCGTGCATTGATTTGAGTAGTGGCATGGTGTCGGGATGAGTGGCGGAAAATGTGTGGAGGGTGAACGAGGTGCCGAAGAAATGAAGAGGTGTTATTAGCAGAGAGGCGACAGATGGTGACATAGATTCGTGTTATGAAATAAATTTCCAAAGAAGACGTCGAGGCATCGGTGGTGGGTTGGCAGGGCGGCGCAGCCCAAGCACAGCCGCCGCTCCGCCAGCACACGCGGTCATCTGCCAGAGATCTGGCGCGGCTGCGACCTGAGCCAGGGCAGCGGCGCAACATCCACCAGCCACTTGCCGCGCTTTCCGGGCAGCGTGGTGGCCTGGAAGCGCGGCCCCAGCAGGAGGCCCGCCAGCGCTCCGCCCACCAGCCCTCCCATGTGGCCCCTGCGTGCGTAGCCACAAAGCCAGGGCAGTCAGAGCAAGGGCAGCCAGGGGCAGGGGCAGCCTACGTGCGATGCAGCAGTGTCCACGCAGCACGTCTGTGTGCAGCACCAGCATTGCAGTGGGGCTGCACGGCCGGGACGGCTCACCAGTTGTCTATGCGCGTGCTGCTGAGGCCATACACCACGTTGAGCACCAGCGTCTGCCACAGCTGGCGCAGCACCCTGTCGCTGGTCTTGCCATAGATGTCCCTGCGCAGGTTGTTGGGACTGGCATGGAGGCGGGACCCAGGCCAAAAGACCTGGCAGCTGGCGGCACTGCGGTGTTGGGGGTCCTCCCTGCTGCTGTTGGGCGAGCGGGCTGCCCCGCGTGTGCGACTAGGCGCCTGGCTCAGCCCCAGCCCCAGCAAGGCGCCCCACCTGTTGCGGTAAAAGTACATGGCTAGCGCGCCGCCGATGCCAAACACGGCGCCCGACGCGCCCAGGCTGACAGACTTGGGGGCGCCCAGGAAGCTGGCCACGTTGCCCGCCACCGCCGCCGACAGGTACATGAGCAGGAAGCGGGGGGGCCTGCACCGGCGTGTGCGCATGCGGGGAGGCGGCTCAGGGAGCGAGCAGAGGCGTGGCCATACAACGAGCAGATGCAGGATCAGGTGCATGCGGCGTGCGGGCTGCATGCACAGCTGCAGCAGGAGCGACGCATGCAGGCGCCCGGGCCAGCCTGTCCAGACGTGCCCAACCATCGTGGATGGTGGGGGCTTGGCGGCGGCCGCGTGCCTGCTCACCCGGCTGCGCCCTCCACAGGAGGTCCCAGGTTGTTGAGGGAGTAGCAGTTGACGGCCAGGTGCATGAGGTTGCCGTGCAAGAAGGCGGGGGTGAGCAGGCGCCACCACTGCCCCGCCACCACCAGCGCATTCACCTGCAGGCGCACGGCACGCAAGCGCCACCTGCTCAGGCCGCCCGCTTGCGCAGCAGCAGGGCAATGCCTGAGCCCTGGCAAGCCGACCGACAGGCCCAACCAGCTAGCCACCTACCTTGACCCCCCACACCGTCAGCGCCTGCTTGGTGAGCAGCTGCAGCCCGAAGAGCAGCGCATTCGACACCAGCAGCACGTCAGTCGCGCGCCGCCCCGGATGCCCAAACTCGCCCGCCTGGGGCCCGCCGCCCGCGGGCGGCATACCCGCCCTGCAGCAGCCAGGTGAAGCAAGAGGGCGCTGTTCGTGCAGCGATGCAGAAAGGCAGGCAGGGTGGCACGTGTGTGGCCAGGCGTGGAACGAGCAGGGCTGCAAACGTCGCACTGGGTACCGGCGCTAGCGGCCGGCTGGCACGGTAGTGAACACCAGCCACACACTCACGCTGCTACAATGGGCGGCAGCCCTCGCGCTGCACCTGCCAGGGCTGACAGCCCCGCCGCAGAGGCTCCCACCACCGCACCCCGCAGTGCCCGCCGCCGCCAGCCGCCCGCCTGCGGCTGCAGGCATGGTCGGCGCAGGCTGGTGCAGCTGCACAACGCCTTGCTAGGTCCCATGGGGGTCATGGGCCCCGGAGAAGGCCGCGGAGGCGGCAGCAGCGATAAGGAGGTGGGCGTGTTTACACCAGTTGGCCCACAGCAGCCCACGGGCAGGTGCGATCGATGCTGGCTTTTGGAGTGACCCGTTGTCAGTCGAGCGCCTGGAACGCTTGCGAAGAGCTGACTGGACGACGCCACTCAGCCACGGAGGCACCCCCGTATGGCTTTGCCGGATTGCCTGATTGCTTGAAGCCAATTTGATTGCACCGCCTGTCACGCCCGAGAGCCTGCAGTGGACACTTTCGCCGCTGGCTCACACACCTTCGCCGCTTATTCACTGACCTGCTGCTGCTCCTACATGGCGCACCTGGCAGCGTACCACGTGATGAGGATGCCCAGGGCATTGGCTGCCCAGCACCTGCGGCTGCTGTCCTCCGCCGCTGCCGCCGCCAGCGGAGCGGCGGTAAGCCAAGACGTCAGCTTTACCTCACCAGGAAATGCTGGCAGCCCCGGGGCCGACGCCGATGCCGTGGTGATTGGAGCGGGCGTGCTGGGCCTTGCCATTGCTCGGGAGCTGGCGCTGGCTGGGCGCAGTGTGCTGCTGCTGGAGGCGGCGGGGGCCGTTGGCACCGAGACCAGCAGCCGCAACTCTGAAGTCATCCATGCAGGCGAGAAGAGCCAACCCCGCACAGCCTAACGCTCGCTCCCCTGCCCCACGCTTGCCTCCCCCACAACTGCTGCAAGCTGTCCTGATGCTGACGTGCACCTCCTCTTCTGTCCTCCCCTCCCTCCACGCAGGCCTGTACTACCCGCCGGGCAGCCTCAAGGCGCGGCTGTGCGTGCACGGCAAGCAGCTGCTGTACGCCTTCTGCCAGCGCCACGGCGTGCCGCACCGCCGCCTGGGCAAGCTGGTCGTGGCCACCAGCGAGGCGCAGCTGGGTGCGCTGCACGCGCTGGCGGCCAGGGGGGCCGCCAACTCGGTGCCCGACCTGCGCCTGCTCAGCGCGGAGCAGGTGCGGGAGCTGGAGCCGGCGGTGCGGTGCGTGGCTGGCCTGCTGTCGCCCTCCACAGGCATCGTGGACAGCCACAGGTGAGAGGCGGGTGGAGCGGGGGGGCTGGCAGGGAGGGGGGGGGGTGGAGGCAAGGGGCTGCCGCTGGGGTGCAGCAGGAGGCAGGGGGGGCGAGGCGGCGGGGGGTGGATGTGGAGCGAGGCGAGGATGGTGGTGATTGTCCTCCCCCCCCCCCCCCCGCTGTGCCTGCTGCCTGATGGTGGAGCAGCACCGCCAGCTTTATGAGGACGGGGGGAGCACCGCCCCCCTCTACTGCGTGCTGCGTGGTGGCATGGTGGCGGCGCTCCTCAACCTGCTCGTGCTGGAGGATAACAACACCGCGGAGGAGGAGGAGATGACTGGTGCTGCGGTGGTGAACGCCGCGGGCCTGCATGCCCAGGTGGGTGGCTGGCTGGCTGTGGCTGGGCGGCTGAGCGAGCAGCAGGACTGCTGGTGGGCGGGGCTTTAGGCAGCTGAGCCTTGTGCAGGCCGGCATGCAGCTGCCCCCCCCCCGAAGCCACTGTTCCAGCTGCACCCGAGGTCTGCCGAGCCAGCTGCACGCCACGCGTCCTGCAGGCCGTGGCGGCCAGCCTGCACGGCATGCCCCCCGCCGCCATCCCGCCGCTGCACCTGGCCAAGGGCAGCTACTTCTCGCTGGCGGCTGGAGCCCTGGCAGCCATCATGCCACGGCCGGCGGGTGGAGGCGGCAGCGCCCGCGCCTTCCGCCAGCTCATCTACCCGCTGCCTGAGCCGGGCACGGCGGGCCTGGGCACTCATCTCACGCTGGACCTGGCGGGGGGCGTGCGCTTCGGGCCTGACGTGGAGTGGTGGGTGGCGGCGCTGCCACCAGCCCCTGATACTGCCTGCCTGCCTGCTGGTAGCACGCCGCCACCCTGCTCCTGCCCTGGCCAGGCCACCCAGCTGCATGCCAAGCATTGCCCTGCCCCGCTGATGCGCTGCTGCCGCCCGCCCCCGACCACAGCATGCCACCTACGCCATGCTGTCTGCGCTGTGCAGGCTGCCCCCTGGTACCGACCCCGCCACCATCGACTATGGCGTGGCGGCCGCGCGGGCCCAGCCCTTCTACGCCGCCATCCGCGCCTACCTGCCCCGCCTGCCAGACGCCGCGCTGCAGCCGTCCTACTCGGGAGTGAGGCCCAAGGTGCGCCTCCGCCGCTGCCGCTGCCAGCAAGGCTGCGCGCGGCAGCCGGCTTGGCAGCGGGCGTTCTGGAAGCCACGCTCCTGCTCCCTCCACCCCCACCCCCCACCCTGGCATGCCCTGGCCCTACACACTGCTGCGCCCCTGGTGCAGGTGGCGGGCCCTGGGCAGCCTGCCGGCGACTTTGTGGTGCAGGGGCCGCACGACCACGGCGTGCCTGGCCTGCTCAACCTGTTTGGCATCGAGTCGCCGGGCCTGACTGCCAGCCTGGCCATCGCGCGCCGAGTGGCGGCAGCGCTGCTGGGAGGCGATGGGGCACGGCGGCTGGCCGGCGCGTGATGTGAGCTCCACACAGTGATTTCTGTACGGTTGTGGTGTGGTCAGCCTGGGCATCTCCCGGCACCTCATCCGCATCTCTCAACAACTCAACGGCTCTCTTGTTACAAGGGAGCGGGGGGAGTGAATCATGTGAATCGAATGAAAGGGGGGCATTGGGCAAAAACGCGGCAACGCGCTCAAAACGGCAGGATTCATAGTTCGTAGGACTTGGTTAGTGTCGGCACAGGACTTCATTTGCTTTCTCGCTCTGGAGCAGACAGACCGACACAAGGGGGAGCCGCCGGCGTGCGGCTCCAGCCGCCAGCTGCAAACTGGCGGGCTGCCAGTTGCGCTGAAGCCAAAGGGCGGCGGGCGCAAGGGACATGTGTTCGGGGAGCAGGGTTGGATGCAGAAAAGGCAGTGGGGAGAAGAACTTTAGGACGCGTGCGGAGGGAGGAGGCAAAGGCCGCGCACGCGCCGCGGCTGGCCCAAGGCGGGCCAGCGGGACGAGGGAAAAGAGGGGGAGACACCAAATGGCTGAAACAAAACGGGGCAGGACAGAAGGATAGCGCATGCAGTTGGGAATCCAAAATTGGAGCGCCGCCCGCCGGCGGCGGCGCATCGCACAGGAAGCGTTCATTTGGGTGGAAGGGTGGGGTGCAGGATTTTTGGGGCCTCATGGAAGCAGGTATATAGAAAGGGAAACACGCAGAAACCGTTCACTCAAGACTGTGCAAGAACGCGCTGACTGGCATGGCGGCGCCGAGGCCCACAGCAAGCGAGGCGAGAGGGGCGGTGCGGTGTGCGCCAACAAAGACCGCCACCACGCCCCTCTCGCCTCACAGGCAGCAGCCCGACGCGCCCTGCTCTCACTCCAGGAACTCAGAGGAGGCCGAAATGTGCATAGAAAGCGGACGCAGAATGGGGTGGGGGTGAGAGAGCACTGGACGGGGACGCTCGTACTGGATCGAAGCTACTGAGGCGGCGGCAGGCGCTGGCTGCTGCAGTCGTGGCTGCACCCGCAAAGAGGTGGAGGCTGCCAAAGGCAAGAGGCTGGGGCTGGCTGGCAAAAAGGCGGCCCGCTGAATCGGGGCTGGTCTGCTGCTAGTTCTCTCTGGCAAAAAGGCAGCGGCTGGTGCCGCGTCTGGCTGGCGGCTTGGCTACTTGTTGCACACGGCGTCGGCTGGGGATGGTGCCGGTGCCTGGCCCTGCATCTTGACTGTGCGAATGGCGGGCTGCTGCCACTCGTTGCTGACGCGGTACGACACGCTGCCGCCGCGATGGTGGCGGATGGTGGCTCCGCCACCTGCCTGCGGCTCTGGCACGGGCGGGGCGGCCACCTTGCCGCCGCTGCTGGGGCCTTGCTGCTGCTGCTCCGGCGAGGCGCTGCCGCCGCGGCCGGTGGCGGCCAGGCTGGAGCTGAGCAGCGACTTGCGCTGCAGCGGGGGCGGCCCGGCGGCCTGGCCCTCGACGGCGGGGCCCACCGCTTGCTGCTCGCCTAGCAGCAGGGCCGAGGCGCCACGCAGCACGGCGCGCGGCGACGCGTCCTCGCCGCTCGAGAAGGCCGGCGTGATGGTGCCCGACGCGCTCTCGCTGACGGGGTGGCTGCTGCCGGGGCCCCCCGCGAAGCAGGTGAGGGGGAAGGAGAGCTCTGGGGAGGCGGCGCGGGGCGAGGCGTAGGGCGACAGGTCGTAGTCGCGCACCTTGGAGGGCAGCCACCTGCAGGGGGGGCGGAGCAGGAGGGAGGAGGGCGGGCACGGCGGTCAGCGAGGCAGGGGCAGGCAGGCAGGCAGGGATGACGCAACCCAGGACGTGCAGATGTGGGCAACTCTCCACCTACGCCAGCAACTCAGCACGGCTGCTGTCCGCATCCCCACGGCAGTGGCTGGCTGCGCAGCTCACTTGCTGAGCAGGCTCTTGCTCTGGCGCCAGGGCGGCAGGCTGAGGCCGTGCTGCTCAAAGGCCAGCGTCATCTCGGAGCACAGCAGCTGCACCAGCGGGGTCAGCTCCACCGACGTCCCCACAAACACGGCGGGCACCATGGACAGCAGGCCGCTGTACCGCGCAGTGGGCTGGCTGATCTCAAACTGCTCCCGGAAGTGGGGCTGCAGACAGCAGGGGGAGGGGAGCGGTTGGCGCGACGCAAAGTGCCGGTACGCACCGCCGACAACCACCGTGCCCCTGCTGGCCACCAAAATGCTGCGACACAACTGACGATGCATATCCTAGCGGTGGCAATGATGCTCTTTGCTGCAGGGCGGACGCGCACTGCTGCTGCTGAAGGCGCTGGTACGCGACGCGCCGCCTCTTGGAGTGGGCCCGCGCAGACGCGCCGCGGCAGACCCCCAGCGCCCAACCCGGCATCCCTGGCAACCCACCTCAACGATGAAGTCTACTCCTGCGCAGGGGCAGCCCTGGGGCACGGTGACCAGCAGGAAGGAGTGGCGCAGGTTGGAGAAGACGGCGGTGCCCTGGCCGCCGCCCAGCGCTTGCCGCACGCTGACGCGGTACCCGGCCAGCGTCAGCTTGCTGGCCAGCACCACGCCGTCCACATCGCCCTCCTCCCCTAGCAAGATGTCGTGGAAGAGTTGCACGTCGCGTCGCAGCTGCGCGCAGGGAAAACCACACAGGGGAAGCGAGGGTTGGCGGCGCCCGGGGGCAGGCAGGCGGCGCGCATGCCAGAGGAGGACGGCCCTCCAAGGGACGGAACCCGGCCGCTTGGCACAGGTGCCAGTGGCGGCGTCACGGCCGGGGGAGGGCACGCAGGGTGCGGGCTGCTGGCACACGCCGGGCGGTCGCGAGAGAGATGGATGGCTGCCACTACGCCGGCGGCCCGCATCTCCCGCTCAAAAGCCCCCATCGGGCACCAGGCCTCACCTTGCGGTGCCAGGGCCCGCGGGGCTGCAGCAAGGGTTGGATTCTGGCGTCCAATAAGCCCAGTTGCGCTGATAGCTGCACCTGCTGCGCCGCTGACGCCAGGGGCGACTCCTCCACCTGTAGGGCGAGCGGCGACGGGCGGGTCAGGCGCATTTGGAGAGCGCGGGCCTTGACGGCGGCTCCCCGCGTTCCCGTCGCCGCGGCGGGCCCAGGCGCTCACCGACAGACTGAACAGGGCCCCGTCCAGTGTGTGAGAGGCTGCGGAGGCCCCCTTGTGGACCGAGACCGTCATTTTGGACTTCCCGCTCAGACCCACCAGACCCGCAACTAGGCGGGGGACATGAGTGAAGCAGGGGTGAGTGGTGGTGTGAGAGGGAACGAAATGCGAGCTTTGGGGCAGTCCACAAGTCTCAAACGTGTGGTGATGTGCCAGCAAGGAAGAATCGTAGCATCAAGGACTGAAATCTAAAGTTCTGTGGTTCTGAGGCCGCGGAGAACCGTGTTGATCGCCACGATGCAGCAATGCACAAGCAGCACACCTGTAGGGGCGGCGACGGCCATTACGAAATGGCGTTGTCACTGGGCGGCTGCCGCCGCCGCCGCCGCCCCCGCCCAGCCGCACACCGTGCCGCTTGCGCTGTGGCAGGGCAAGGCTGGCAAGCTTGTAAAAGTCGGGGGTGCGTTCAGGGAGCATTCTATGTCAGGTCGGGGGCTGCGCACGCCAGGGGCCCCAACGCGCAACCGCCTGCCGCTGCCTGCTGACCAACCCCTTTCTGCTGGCGCAACTGCGCACTTTGCTGCGGCGCTGCTGCTCAGCCTCCCGCCTGCTCCTGATCCTGACGGTGGTGTGGATGCCCTGTTACCGGCATATCATGGCAGAAGCTCCCACACCACGTTGCGTTGCATTTGCGCTCTCCTGCTCACAACCCTGCGCTCTCCTCGCCGCCGCGCCGCCAGTCGCCGCTGCGCCCGCCGCTCTTGCTGAGCAGGCGCAGGTCTGTGACCAGGATGCCCTTGCTGGCCGCCTTGCACATGTCGTACACGCACAGCGCCGCCACCGCCGCCGCCGTCAGCGCCTCCATCTCCACGCCCGTGGGCCCCACCGTGGTTGCAGACGCGGTGATGTCCACCGCCGCGGCGCGCGGCTCCAGCGCCAGCGCCACATGCACCTTGGACAGCAGGATGTTGTGGCAGAGCGGGATGAGGGTGGAGGTGTGCTTGGCGCCCATCACCCCTGCGCAGGCGCGGCGCGGGGCAAGGCAGGGGCGGGGCGGGAGCCAGGCAGGGAGGTCGGGCCGGCGGCGTGGCCAAATGAGCTGCGCACGGCGCTCCAGGACGGCGCCCACGCGCCGGCTGGGTAGCTGCCTCGACGACAAGGAGCCACGGAAGCACAGAACCGCGGGCCCCGCCGCCTGCCTGCGCCTCGCCCCAATGGCCCCCCACGCACCCGCCAGCTGCGCCACGGTCAGCACATCCCCCTTCTTCATCTGGTTGCGCGCCACCAGGTCAAACACCTCGGGCCCCAGCACCACCCGCGCCCCCGCCGTCGCCGTCCGCACCGTGGCCGCCTTCTGCGCTCAGGCCGGCGGCAAAGCGCCAGCAGGAGAGGGTGACACCCAAGCAGCATGCGGGGTGCATGCACCGGGGGGGCATGGCAGCAACAGGCTGGCTTCCAGTTGAGAGCAGCCTGCTCCAGCTCTCTTTGACACAGCCGGCTGGCATGCTCCATCCCCCGGCACGCAGCAATGCGGGCAGAGCACCAGGCACCCACCTCGCTCACGTCCACCATCGCAGCCTTGCCGCTGGCATCCACATGTGTCAGCCCTTGGTCTGCACCACCAGAACTGGCGGCGGGGCCGCTACTAGCATGGCTGCTCAAACTGCTGTTGCTGCTGCTGCCGCCGGTGCTCGTCTGCGGCGCCGCTGCTGCTGGCGCAGCAGCCGGCGCACGAGTTGCCTGCCCCGCCAGTGCTGCCAGCTGCTGCGCCAGCGATGCTGCCGTCCCTCCCTCTGCTGCGCCCTGCTGCGGCATGCCCAGGAAAGTGAAGAGTTCCGCGTTCACTGAGCTCACATCAGCCAGGAGCTGAGCCTCCCCTGGTGCTGCCGCTGAGGGTGCCAGTCCTGCTGCCGCGCTGCCCTGCTGCTGCTGCGACGGCGGGGCGGCGCCAAAGAACTTCGACAACTCGCGGTTGAACTCGTCAGAGGGTGTTGTTGACAGCACGCGATGGGTTGGAGCTGGGGCAGCGCACTGCAGGCTTGCAGGAGGGCCGGTCAGCAGCCTCGCGGCAGCGGCGGGTGGCGGCAGCGGCAGTGCAGGGCAAGTCAGCAGGCTGCCCGCTACCCTAGCGGCCCATTCCACTCTACATGACATTCACCTGGAGCCGTAGCAGTCCCTGCTGGGCCGCCAGGGCCCTCAGCCGGCACAGGAGCATGTGTTGCAGCGGTCCTGTGTGCTCTCAGGGGTGGGGAGCGTGCTTAGGATGGAGGTCGAAAACAACAGAGCTCATGGGGGTTGGAATTGCGATGGGAGATGACTGGGGCGGCAAGGAGGAAGGTACCAAGAACGGTGAGGTGCAAAGCCAGACGCGGAACCGTTTGTCTCTTCTCCTGTTGGACTCGGCATCCTGCTGCAGTTGTTCGCACAGCCTCTGCCCCAAACAAACGCCCTTGATCTTCAGACCCCATGTCTGCGCTGGGCAAGTAAGCCATTACAGCGCAGAACCAGCAGTGGGATGTCGTGCATGACCGTCAAGGCCAGCGTGGCCGCTGCAGGCTGGCCTGGTGCTCGGCAGCAGTCGCCGCGCTGCCAGTGGCAGCCGGCACCGGCTGTGACACTTCAGTCATCAGTCAGTTTACAGCGTTGCAGCAGCCATGATGGTGCCGCAGATGCGTCACTTCCGTTTTTGAGAAGTTTTTGAAGTTGCAAAAGGGGAGGGGAAGAGTTGGGAGAAAGAAACAATAAGGCCAAATACCAATACCAGAAACCGTTTTTGAAGTTGCAAAAGGGGAGGGGAACAGTTGGGAGAAAGAAACAATAAGGCCAAAAAACCAATACCAGACTATTTACGGGGAGGGGAGCGGGGGTCAACATTCTCGCCGCGGGCGGCTCTGTGCTCTGTGCTCTGTGACACGGCTCTGTGGTCTGTGACACTTCCACTCGAGGCTGCCTGCTGGTTGCTGCCTGCTGTAGTCTGGCGGGCCTCACTCCCATCCGTCGGCTTGCTGCAGGCTGTTCAAGAAGGAGCCCACGGCCAAGGAGGTAGTGCGGGAGAGTCAACGAAACATTGGCAAAAATGTGCGTGATATCGATCGAGAAATTGCCAGCCTCAGGCGGGAGGAGCAGAAGCTGATAAAGGTGCGCCTGGGGCTGCCGCATGCCGCAGCTGGGCAGTCACTGCCACGATGCAGCAAGCGGGCGTACTCACCTTGGGAATGCAAGGCCTGCCAGCTCACAGGCGCCCCCCGGGGACGCTTGCCGATGCCGCTGCCTGCCGCCTGCAACAGGACATCAAGCTGGCGGCCAAGCAAGGCAACCAGGCGGGGACGCGCATCCTGGCGCAGCAGCTGGTACGGCTGAGGGCGCAGATCACAAAGATGCACACCACGCAGGCGCAGCTGCGCGGCGTGGGCGTGTCGATGACGGTGAGTGGGCAAGCTGGGATCCACGCTCAGCCAGGGAGCGCTGCCGCCTGCACCAGGCCTGCGCTGCTCACATATGCGGCTGCCCCGTCGCTGCTGCTGCAGACAGCGGCCGCCACCAGCTCTGTTGGGCAGTCGATGCAAGTGGCCGGCAAGGCCATGGCGGCGATGGGGGCCCAGAACGACCCCAAGAAGATCATGCAGAACATGCAGCAGTTCAGGTGGGGGCGGCTCGCCCCGAAGTGCTGGCCAGTGGGTACTGCCTGAGCGCTTCCTGCGATTGGCTGGCTGCTCAAGCAGCGGGTGATTCCCACCACGCAGCGGTGATGTCTGTGGTGTTGCGCACCCGCTCTACTTTCCCTCCCTGCGGCCCCAACCCTTGGCCTGCAGCCGCGAGAATGCCAAGATGGAGATGACGGGAGAGATGATGGATGCGGCGGTGGAGGATGCGCTGGGGGACGATGTGGACGAGGAGACGGACGACGTCATGGCGCAGGTGCCTGCGGCGGGCTATGCCTGGGTTGTGGCAGGGCCCATCAGCGCTGGCGAGCCGGCTGGCATGTATGCAGGCCGGCAGTGGAGTGCAGGGCCCGGTCGGAGGAGGGCGCTCACGTGCATGCATGGCACCCCAGCGGCCGCCCCGTCGCCGCTGCCGCGCTGCTTGCAGGTCCTGGACGAAATTGGCATCGATTTGTCGTCGCAGATTGGCGCAGCCCCCAAGCGCGTGGCAGCGCCTGCACAGCAGCAGCGGGTTGAGCCTGAGGAGGAAGACGAGCTTGCCAGCCGCCTGGCGGCGCTTAAATAGGCGGCCGAGCCGGTCTGCTGCCTTGGTATCCCCCTGTACTGACAATGCACTCTGCTGCTGCTTCTCCTGCTTGCTCTTCTTCCTCTGCCAACCCCTCCTTGCCCCAAGTTCGGCCGCCGCTGCCGCCGCCGCCACCCATCACCACTGCCACCCCACCAGACCAGGAGGCTGGCCCCATGCACCATCCCATCGCCTTATGGCATTCTGGTCACACATTGTGATGCGTGGAGGCTATGGAATGTGAGAGAAACCCACCTCTTCCACGCACACCATTCCATGCTGGCAGGCCCACATAGATGATGCAGTGCACCATCGGCGCGCAGTCCTTGATCTCTCCAGGCGAAGCAAGCAGCTGCCGCGATGTCCACCCCCATGTCTTTGTGCTCGGTCGCAGTGCAGCCCCGTGCTGCCGCCCGCCTGCAGGGCTCGCGCTTTCTGGGCAAGATGGCTGTGGCACAAAGCAAGGTGGGCCTCATTCCGCGGTTGGGCTGGGCCGACTGCACCTGCCCAGCGATGCCCATGCCAACCCCCATCCCTCTCCTGGTGCAGCCTATGCGCGTGTGCGGGCCTCGCCAGATGCGCATCCAGGCGATCGCAGAGGGAGACAAGGTGAGATGGCGCGCAGGAGAGGTTTGCTGCCACCGCCCGCTGGCGCGGCCGCCCGCGCCGCTGGCCCGCCCTGCTGCTGCCTGCCTCACGCGCTCGCCCTCCTGCCGCAGCTGCCTGCCGACGTGAAGCTCAACTACTTTGATGCGGAGGGCAACATGCAAGAGGTCGCTGTGGGCAGCCTGACCAAGGGCAAGAAGGTGGGCTGCTGCTGCTGTGGCGGCATGAGGTGGCCAGGCCGCCGCCCGGCTGCTCCAGCTGCCATTTGCCCGTGCTGCTCTTGCGGCTGCACCTAGCCAGCCAGCCATCCACCCACCCACCCATCCGCCCTTGCTCCCCCGATGCGCAGGTGGTGCTGTTTGCGGTGCCCGGCGCCTTCACCCCCACCTGCAGCCTCAAGCACCTGCCCGGGTTCATCGAGAAGGCGGACGAGTTGCGCGCCAAGGGCGTGGACACCATTGCCTGCGTGTCGGTCAACGACGCATTCGTCATGGACGCCTGGGGCAAGAGCGTGGGCGCAGGCGAGCTCCTGGTTTGGGGGGCTCGGTGCATGAGGCAGCGCTCCACTGGTCGCGCGCCCGCTCCTGCCACGGGCCATCGCGCTGCTGACCCTCCCGCCTACCCGTCCCGCCGCCGCTGCCGCCGCTGCCGCTGCAGACGGCAAGGTCATGATGCTGGCGGACGGCAGCGCCGTGTTTGCGCAGGCCATTGGCGCGGAGCTGGACCTGGCGGACAAGGGGCTGGGCGTGCGCTCCCGCAGGTGCGCCCGCCCGCCGTGGAGGCACCGCTCAGCGCAGCGCGTGGGGCGAAGTGTGGCTGTCGGCATGGCCGGCGCTGTGCCTCGTCACCGCGCGCTGGGCCTGCCGCATGCTCGCCCGGCTCTGCCCCATGCCCCTGCCCAACGCACCCCGTGCCGCCTGCCACCCTTGGCGCCCGCAGGTATGCCATGCTGGTGGACGACGGCACCGTCAAGAAGCTCAACATGGAGGTGCGGCGGGCAGGGGCCGAGGGCGGCGGCTGTAGGCTGGCAGCGCAGGCTGTTAGCGCTGCTTGGCGTCGAGCTTGGCGTGCCCGGGCCGTGTCACATGACTGGCTGCTGTTCCTGCTGGCTGCTGTTCGTGCTGAGCCCGCGCCTAGCATGATTGTCTGGTACACCTCAGCAGGCTCGCCCACCCCATCTCTTGCTCCCCGCAGGAGGGTGGCGCCTTCACCGTCAGCGGTGCCGACGACATCCTGGCTGCGCTGGACTGAGCCTGAGCGCCAGTCCCGGCCTGCTGCTGAGGCCGAGCCGAGCCTGAGCTGGGCCCGAGCCCGCTGCAGAGACAGCTGGGCTGCTTGTCTGCGCCCGCCGTTGTGCCTTGCCTACCTCTTTGTTCCTGTTCTTTCTGCAGCCAATGCTCGATTTGCTTGTTGTTTTTGGCTGGAAGGGCAGCCAGCACACATCAGCACTGATTCTCACTTCCGCTACCCCTCCCTTGTCAGACGCCCGTGCCCCATTCGCCCGCATGACGCGCCCCACTGCACCCATCCAGCCTCCCTGTGGCACTTGTTCTGGCCGCCTCGTCGCCGCTTGCATTGGCGGCTATCCTGGCATTTAACCACAAGAGTCATCGCGCTTACAAGAGGCGGCTGCCGTGCCTGAAACGATGAAATGGTGGCAGGTCAACGGTGGGTGGAATGCGAAACAGGACAACAAGCTGCAGAGCGGGGCCAGCATGCACACACAAGCTGGATAAGGAGCGATACAAAACAGGGTTGACGGCCGTTGGTACAACGGTGGCTGGCTGCCCCTGTGGGCCAGCCAGCCTGCTAGTGCGGCTTGCGCAGGAGCAGCAGGGGGCGGTCAAACCCGGCCGCGCTTTCCTCCACGCCAAAGCGCCTGACCAGGCAGAAGCCCAGCTGCTCGCACAGGTAGTCGGCAAACTGGGCGGGGCGCAGGCGCAGCTCGTCCTGCCTGCAGGCACACGGCGCGGATGCAAGGGAAGGCGGGCGGGCAGGCAGGCAGGCAGGCGATGCTGAGCAGCGAGCGGCAGTCGCGGGACACGCCAGCGGGGCCTGCTGCCAGGCAGCCGCAGCCGCAGGCGGCAGCCTTCACAGCTCCGCCAGCAGCGCCACGCCCGCCCCCCACCTGTGGAAGAAGGACCCCGGCGGCGCCTGCTCGCACCGGACCTTGCCCGCCGCCGCTCGGTACGAGCTCCACGGCTGCGGCTCCAGCAGCAGCAGGCCGCCGGGCGCCAGCGCGGCCCAGAAGGCGCCAAACATCGCCTGCAGGCCGGCGTCGCCGCGGTTGAGGTGCACCCATTTGGTGACGGAGAGGCAGGTGATGGTGTCCAGGCTGGCGCCCGCCACCTGGCTGTCCAGGAAGTCGCTGTGCACAAAGCGGGTCTGCGGGGCGGGGCGGGGGGCAGGCGTGGGGGCGACAGGTGGGGGCGTGTAGGGAGGGCCAAACACTGTGGAGGCGGGGCGGATGGGGCAGCATGGCACAGCACGCGCAGAAAGGGCAGGGTGGCGTGTGGAGGGGCCCGCCGGGGCGCCGCCGCGCAGCCGCACACACCTGCCCCAGCGAGGCGGCGGCGGCGATGGCCTGCTTGCGCTCCTGCGGCTGCACGCCTGCGCGGCGCACCAGGCGCGCACGCTCCGTGGCCGAGGTGTGCGCCTCACGCAAATGCCTGCGCAGCAGCAGAGCGGAGGGCGCGGGGCAGGGCAGGCGGGCGGGGCGCTGGGAGGTCGGGGCGACCCTGGGAGCGGCGGCTGCCAGGCAGGCAGCCAGCCAAGGCCAGCACGTGCGGCGGGTGCATGCGTGGGAGGGAGTGTGCGCGGGAGCGAAAGGCGGCGGCCCACTGAGGCGCGGGGCGGCCGCCCGATAGCCCGCGCAGGCTGCTGTGGCGCCAGGCAGCATTGGCCAACGCCTGCCACCACCGGGGCGGGTGGCGGGCGTAACTCTCTGGCGCTGCCCAGCGGGCGATGCAGGGAGAGGGGCAGGCACGGCGCCACGGCGCGGCGCGGCTCAAGGCTGCAACCCCCACCCCCACAGCACAATAATACACAGAACCGTCACACCACCCACCGCCCACAAGCAGGCGAGCGACGCCGCCACCCCGCCGCCCCCGCCCACCCCCCCCCCACCTGCACGCCCGCGCAATGAGCGCCCCGTCTATGTCCACCCCCAGCATGCTGCGCGGGTGGTAGCGCTGGGCCAGCGCCAGCGTGATGAGCCCCTCGTTGCACCCCACATCCAGGCACCGCCGCCGCGCAAACCACGTGCGCTCAAACACCTGCGGGGCGGGGGCAGGGCAGGAGAGGCAGGTGCCGAGATAGGGCGGCGGCACCAGCAGCACGATGGCCAGGGGGCCGCTGGCTGGCTGGCTTGTGCTGGCTGTTGTGCTGAGCGGCTGCAGGGGCTCCTGCCGCCTCCTGGGACTACCCTACCAGCACCCTGCATGCGCCCTGCCCCGCCCCACCCCGCCCCGCCCCGCCTCATGGCACCACCAATCCAGAGCCCCGCTCACCGCCAGGCGCGGGTCCTCGGGCCGCTGGTCTCCAAAGAAGCGGTACCCGTAGTACCGGTGGTAGTTGCCGTGCACGGCGGGACCGCGGCGCTGGCGCTGGGCGCCGCCGGGGCCCGCCGCTGCCGCTGCCGTGCCGGCGGTGGCGTCCTCGACCTCCACCTGCTCGTGTGCTGCCGCATCCTCAACCCCCACTGCTGCTGCCGGCAGCCCCGCTGCAGGTGCGGCAGGCTCCGGCCGGGGCAGCTGCTGCGCCGTGCCAGGCGCCAGCTGGCTGCCGATCAGCAGCGCGGCTGCCGACATGTCGAGGCGGCACACGCCTGCCATCTTGGCAGCCACCTCCGCCGCCACCTCCACCTCCTGCCGCTGCATCAGCGCCTGTCCCACCAGCGCCGCCGGTGCAGACCAATCCAGCCGGCGCGGAGAGCCGCTGCTGCCGTCTTCTCCTGCTGCCTCGCCCCCAGGCACGGGTGCACCACAGGCGGGCGCCGCCGGCGTCGCTAGCAATCCAGCCGGCGCGAGCCCCTCAGCAGGTGGCCCTGCTAGCGGCTGCCGCTGCTCCTGCTGCCCACGCGGCGACTCACGCAGCTCGCTGATGTGCGCCAGCTGCTGCGCGGGCTGTGCAGCGGGCACTGCAAGCGCCGCTGAACTGGTGAGCGTGTCAACCGAACCTGCCGCACCGCCCGGACCGCCGCCGGTGCCGTCGCCGCCGCCCCGTCGACGCCGCTTGCTTCCGCCAAAGGCAGAGCGCTGCTGCTGCTGCTGCTGCTGCTGGCCGCCCTGCGGTCCCCGCTTGTGCACGGCCTTTCCGCGTGCACCTTGCTCCTGCTGCCGGCCCTGCCGCGAGTCGCTGCCGTGCGCCTCCGGGTGATGCTGCTGTAGCTGGCGCAGGTGCTGCTCGTATGCCTGCTGGAGCACGTAGTCCTCGGCTGCCTCGCTGTGGCTTGATTCCTGCAGGGGTAAGCCAGGCAAGTTGCTCGGCTGCCGCCACCGCACCGCTGCGCGACAGGCGCATCAGGGCGCAGCCCCCCGCGGCTGCGCACTCTCAGGCTGCCAGAAAGGTCACCTGCGCTGCTGCGCGTGCATACAGCTTGGCCAGGCGCTGCCGGCGCAGCCTTTTCTGCTGCCTCGTCAGGCGAGGCTGCTCATGGCCGCTTGAAGGATTCTGGTCGCTAGGGAGGGCTTCAACCGACTGTCCTTGGTCCATCAAGAGAATGCATGCGGTGTTTTGCAGAATGACTGGCGCGCAGACGCCCCCGCACCGTTTCCCACTCGTTCAATAAGAGTCACCACATGGAGACAAGCGTCTGTGAGCCCGTAACTCCCTTCGGCGCCTTCACCCTGCCACGGCACAGCACGGCAAACACAACTCGGTCCATTGCCCCTTCAGGGATTGCATCCGCCACCCATGCGATCAGCACATCGCATTGGCACGCTCAGGGCAGCATTCTCTTCTCCCCTCCTCTGCTGCCGCTCGCCAACACCCAGCAGCGGCAAGCTCCCTGTCCCCCGCTTTCCCCCTGCAGCTGCTGGCGCCCGGCCAGCAGCGAGCATGAGCAACGCCGACTTCAAGGTGCGCCCTGCCTGTCACTGTCGCCGCCGCCCAGCCGCTCGCCTGTGGACTTGCCCCGACACTCTCTCTGCGCTGCCTCACGCAGGAGTACCTGTTTGGCCCCTGGAAGATTGCTGCCGAGGAGGTGTTTGCAACCTCGCCCCACTGCTTTGCTTTTGGTGAGACCAGGGGGCTGGAGCAGCGGTCGGCAGGATACGCAGCGGGCGGGAAAGAGCATCTGCCCATTTTCATGTGTTCTCACTGGTGCATGCTCATCTCTGGGTGCAGTGAACCTGAAGCCGGTGGTGCCGGGGCACGTGCTGGTCAGCCCCAAGCGCGTCGTGGCACGCTTTGCTGAGCTGGCGCCTGAAGAGGTGGCTGACCTCTGGTGCGCCTGCAGCACACCTTGCAGCTGGCTCACCGCTGCTGCTCCAGGCGCCCCCTTGGCTGACAGTGCTTCCATGGTGCTGCCACCCCGCTTGGCCGGCACCACCGTCTCTCATGCCGCTAGCGTGCCTGCAGGTGCCTGGCCCAGCGCGTGGGCACCGCCGTCGAGCCTCACTTCAGCGCCCAGTCGCTGACGCTAGCCATTCAGGACGGGCCGCAGGCGGGGCAGACGGTGCCGCACGTGCACGTGCACATACTGCCCAGGTGCGGCGCGCAAGGTTGCTGGGCAGCAGGGCATGTGGTCAGGCGTGGTGTGGAAGCTCAGCACACAGCCCACGCGGCGTCCCCCTGCAGGAGGCCGGGCGACTTCCAGCGCAACGACGAGGTGTACGACGCGATAGACGAGGCATCCCAGGACGCCGCAGCTTCGCACACGTGAGCAGGGCACGGATCCTTGCAGCTGGGCAGGGTGGGCCAGGTGCTGCGTGTGCACGTTCCCGGTTGCCTCCACCAATGCCTGGACAGGGGACCCGCCTTGCCTCCTGTTGCCTCTGGACCGTGCCTTGGGCACGCCTCTGCTCCTCTTCCACCACCACCCACCTACCCATCCAACCACCAACTCTGGCTCCTGCCTGTCTTCCTACCAGGGGCGAGAAGCTGGACCTTGACAAGGAGCGCAAGGTGCGCACACCAGAGGAGATGGCGGCAGAGGCTGCGCAGCTGCGCAAGCTGTTCCTCTGACGCCCGGCTGCCGCAGACGCAGCAGGGTTGCTGCGCAGCTAGCAGCAGCAGCCACTAGCAGCAGCGATAGCATTTCATCCTTAGGTTAGCAGCATGCCGGCAGCCAGCTCATTTCTGGCTGCTCTCTCCGCAATGGCAGCAGCAGCGGCACCGGCAGCCCGCCCAGCCAACCCACACACCACACATCGCTGTCGCGCGGTGACGCGCCTGCGGCCCGAATCCCGGCATCTTTGTGGCAGCAGTGGCAGCAGTTTGGATTGGCTTCCCGCCACCGAGGCCTGCATTGGCCGCAGAGTACGCTGCCGCGGCTTTGTGGGAGACGGCACGCAGCCAGCTGCGCAGTACCACTCTGCCGACTTTGCCTGGGAGGAGGTGGCAGAATTAGGGGTGGCCACGGTGGAGCGGCAGCGCCGCGAGCTGCGCCAGCATTTGCTGCAGCAGCAGGGGCAGGAGGAGGGAGTGCGCTGGCACAGCAGGCAGCAAGCCGCAGTCGTGGCGACTGGGCTGGCAGAGGCGGCGCGGTGCAGCGTTGGCGAGGAGGGCAGCTGGGCGAGCAGCAGCAGCAGCGGCAGCAGTGGCTACGAGTCTGACGACAGCTGGGAGCGGTTTCATGCGCAGCACAGCCAGGCGCGCTTCTTCAAGGAGAAGCGGTGAGGCATGGGGCGGTGCTGGCTCCTGCTGGCAGCGGGTGGAGTGGGGCCTGGCTTCTGGCGCTTGTTAGGGCTCCAAACAAGGCTCCAGCTGTGTCGATGCCTTGAACGTGTGCCTAGGCGCAGGTACTTGATGCTGGAGTTCCCTTCCTTGGCGGTGGCCCACCCGCCGCAGCACATTGCCGAGATTGGCTGCGGCTGCGGCTCGGGTGCGCTGCGCTGCTGGCTGAGGCGTGCAGAGGCCCGTGCTCGGGGCCTGCGTTTATCTATCCGCCCCGAGCCCCACCGTGTGGCCCTCTGCTCCCTGCAGCGCTGCTCCCGGTGCTCAAGGCCAACCCCTCCTGCCGCGTCACCGGCTGCGACATCAGCCCCACAGCGCTGCACATGTTCCGCCGTGCCGGGGAGCAGGCTGGGGTGCAGCCGCATCCACACCTTGGTGCTGGATGCCGCCGCCAATGGGAGCGCGCACAGCGAGTGCGACGGCAGCAGCGGCAGCCCACTGGCAGGCCTGCACGCCGACAGCCTATTGCTGGTGTTCACTCTGTCGGCACTTCCACCAGAGGCGCACGGCGCTGCACTGGCGCATGCTTTTGCTGCTCTCCGCCCTGGGGGTCTGCTGCTCTTCAGGTGCGGGCCGGCCGGGTTGGGGGCAGGTGGCTGCTTTTTTCGGAGCCATCCAGGGGGCTCGGTGCTGAACCTACACTCCGCCAGCTTACTTTGGAGTTCTTGATGCTGCTGCCTGCAGGGACTATGGGCTGTACGACATGGCCCAGCTGCGGTTCCCGGGGGCGCAGATGCTGGGGCCCAGCCTGTACCGCAGAAGGTGGGCCATGCGGGCGGGCGGGAGCTGTTGCCAGGGCCGGCACCCCCCCACCCCCACCCTGCCTGCTTGGCTCTCGGTCACTGCTTGTCATCCCATGAGCCGTGCTCTCCTGCTTGCCTGCAGCGAAGGCACGCTGGCCTACTTCTTCAGCGTGGAGGCCCTGCGTGCGGCGGCGGCGGCGGCTGGGTTTGAGGAGGTGGAGTGCGAGTATGCGCGGGTGCAGGTGCGGCGTGGGAGCCGGGGGGGCACGCCCTGATGCACGCCCTGGAAGGCCTTGCCAATTGCATGGCCCCTGGTTCTCAGTGGAGGCTCTCTGCAATGCGTGCTGCCGGCTGCAGATGCGGAACCGCAAGACCGGCGCCGCCATGCGTCGCGTGTTTGTTCACGGCTGCTTCCGCAAGCCGGCTACAGCGAGTGGTTGAGCCGATAGAGCCGTCGCACAACCAGACCTTGGCTGCTCTGCTGGCGCTTGTTTAGAAACTGGTAAATTAGAAAGGGGATACATCAGGTCTTTCTCAATTCTCAGCATCTATGCAGCGGGAAGATGGAGCCAAATGCAATGCGTTCTTATTAGAGGGCCTTGAAAGAGGTAGTGGACGCAAGTTTGAATCAGAAGGGCATTGCATTATGATGGTGCAACAAAAATTGGAGTATGTCGCTCGGCGAGCACGGGTGCCTGCAATGCCTGCTAGAGGCCTACAGGTTGTCAAAAATCACTTGGCCCTGCTCCCAGGCAGTGTACAGTCTCTGAAGCTGGGCGCTGAGGGACCGCTCCAGAGGTGCAGTGGCAGCGCCGCCATTTACTTCCTCAACAGCGGCAGGCGGCGGCTGCTCAGCTGAAGCGGCCAGCAGCGCCGCCAGCGAGGAGACCCTCTGTGTGGGGGGCGCCACGCCAGCAGACTGCGGCATGCCTCCTGCTGCTGGCAGCCATGGAGGTGCACGCGGTGCCATCGCTGCGAAGCCGGGTGCAGCCCGGGCCTTCTGCGACAGGATGGCCGCGGATGAGCTGTCGCGGCTGCTGGAAGCCAGCTTGCCACGGGCAAGAGCGGCCGGAGGCGCGGCCTGCGGGGCCGGGATCCGCTCCCAGTGGGGCCCGCCCCAGCCGGCGGCAGCGCTGGTTGCTGAAGAGGTGGGAAGCGCTGCCTCTGGGGCGGCGGTGCTGCCGTCAGATGCATGGCGGGATCCGCTCTGGCTGCCGCGCCTGGCTGCTGGCAATGAGGAGCGCCTGCGGCGTCGCTGTGGGCTGGCGGCTCCCTCCTCATCCGCTTCGCTGACTTCGCTGCTCGCGTCCCCATCTTCCTGGCTTCCGCCTTGTGATGTGCCAGGCCGCACCACCACACGCCGCCGCCGCCCGTAGCGGCTGCAGTCTCCGGGGTCGGCCGGTGCGGCAGACACTGAGGCCGTGCTTTGGGGCCGCCAGCCAGGCTCCAGTCCCACCGCTGCAGGCCAGGCAGGGGCAGGCAGGCAAAGTGGGGAAGGGGGAGGCACTTTCCAGGCCTGCACCGTCGTTAGAGCGCATACGGCGGTAGTGCTCAGCAGAGCGGCCGCATGGCCCACTGCGCGGATGGTAGGAAGCACGGTAGTTGCGCAGCTGTTGCCCGAGCGACCCGCAAACGCACCTCGCAGCAGTTTGCTTCTGAGCCACGCTGCAGCACAGGGTTCCAGGCAGTATCTTGGTACCCACGTGGCACTGGGCCATGCATAACCCGCGTTCTGCCAGGGGAGCCCCGCAGCTGGTAGCGTAGGTAGGCCATTGCATGATTCCCGCACTCACCGTTGTTGCAGCTGGCCGTGGGAACCCCGTATATCCTTTCAAACATGTCTTGCATCTCCTTCTGACTGCAGCGAAATGATGAGGACAACAAAAAGGTGCTTAGCTTTGTGTGCCACGCGCCGCCTGCAACGCACGCCGGCGACCCGCCAGCGGCGGCCGCTCACCGCAGCGCCAGAACCCGCTTGCCCAGCTCCGTGGCGGTGCCACCCCCCAGATGCACCGCGGCCGCTCTTCGCTGCTGAGATGAGAGTACGTGGCGGAGAACGGGCGGCTTGCGCTTGCCGCTCTTTTCCATGCCTCTCACATCACCAACGCATGTACACGGCTGGCACTCTCAGGCTCTCTGGCTCTCTGGTTTAAACGCAAAATCTCGACATGAAGGCAGAGAAATTCGTCCCCTTTGTGTGCGACCCCCAAAGGGTCAACTGCCGTTGAGGGGGCACTCCCGGAGGGCAAGTTTTACGCAACTCCGCTCCCCATGAACTTGAGCATGCCAAGTTCAAACCGGCATTATACAAAATGTAAGGCATTCAGGACCTGAACGGCACCAAGCGCTGTCGCCGGGAGCGCATAGCGGGAGGCGGCGGAGGCGGCAGAGGCGGCAGCGGCTTCTTCGTGGCTTCACAGCCGCCTCCTTGGAGCGTTCGCGTGCCCCACCCATTCCAGTGCCGTCTCAATGCATGCACTCGTCAACGGCTGGCTATGCTCAGTTCACTGCTGCCCGCCGCCACTTGGGAGGATGCATCTGACGCCCCGCCGCACTTGCAATTGTTAACGAGACCCTGAAATGGTTGCCGTTTGCATTGCATGCGGTAGCCCGCAATGGTCTACAGGCATGAAAGAGCGCAGAGGTGGAACATGAAATAGCATGAAAGGTCCAGGCAGGGCAGTCATGGAGCAAAATGGCCGGCACAAAGCAGGCTTGGCGGCCAGCGGTGTCCCAACAGCCGAGCCTCACATCCAGGGCCTGAAGCCCAGGCTCAGCGGGTTAATGCCGTAGTCCACCAGCAGCTCCACTGGGCTGCCCGCGGTGGCGCCCAGGGCGGTGCGGGCGGTGACCAGCGGCACCCATCGCACCTCCTCCTCCCCGCGCCCGCCGACGCTCAGCGAGGGCACGTAGCGCTGCAGCGAGGGGGGCAGGGCGGCCGGCAAGGGGCACATGTCAAAGGCCGCATTGGCGGCAGCTGCCGGGCCGTGGTTCAGCATGTGTCCCAGGGCTGCCTGCCGCAGCAGGGCCTCGCATCCAAGCCGCCCATCGAGCTCCGCACGCTGCTGCCCGCCCAGCGCCAGCCAGCTGGCATTGACGAGGGCGGCCTCTGGCTGCCCAGCCGCCCAGGAGGCGGCCGCTGCCTGGAACCGCTGGGCGGACAGGCCGCCAGGCTGGCCGTCCACCAGGCATGCGGCGTTGAGGCAGCGCAGCTGCAGCAGGTAGTGGTTGTCCAGGGTCCATGCGGGCGGGGCAGGGGCGCAGGCATCGTCTGGAGCCGACACCCCCAGCAGCAGCACAAAGTCGCCCATGTCGTGCACCAGCCCCGGATACAGCGTCAGGATGCCGCCGGCGGGGCAGCCGCCTGCCGTCAGGAACACCCCATCGCCGGCGTCGGGGTGCTGGATGCCCGATGGCCGCCGCTGCAGCTCGAAGCCAATCGTGTCGGCTAGCGCCTCGGTGAGGGCGCCGCCGCCGCTACAGGTTCGGCATTGCTCCTCGGCGGCCTTCAGGCGCTGCAGGTAGCCGATTAGCTGTGCCTGGAGGCGGGCGACACGATGCTGCTCTTCGAGTTTAGGAGGGGCCGGCAGGAGAAGGCGCCCCAGCAGGGTAGCAAGTCTACGTGCTGCCGGCACCATCCTGGTGCGAAGAAGGAAGACATCTTTCGATTCGAGTCCAAAGACAAGGGTATGTTCCGGGTTTGGTGCTCGGAATTAGGCCAGCATGCAAAGCATGCCGCCGCCGCCACAGTCTTCACACCAAATGAGCAGGTATGGTGCACAAAAGGTCAGGGCATTAGCAATGGTAGGAGTGGAAAAGGCTGTACAAATTGCCAAGCAATGTTCCAGGGAATGGGGGCCACAAACAGACGGGAGGCTACCGGCTGGGCGCCCCCTGCTCTCCTCCCAGCACACTCTCCAGGGGCACGTGCACCTCCTGCTCCTCGCCGCTGTCAGAGCCGCCAATCAGCCCTCGTTCTCCCGGCCCCTGGCTGGCTGCCGCTGCCGCCCCCTGCCCCGGCGCCGGCTGCGGGCGGGCATGGGCAGAGGGGGAGGGCTCCTGCGCCGCGGCGTCGTATGCCGGCCGTGGGCCCCGCCGGAGTGCCGGGAACTCGAGCTCCTCAGCGGCCCCATCCACCGCTGCACCACTGCCGCCGCTACCGCTGCTGCCGCCGCCACCTGCAGGCGCCGGCGGGCCCTGCTGCTGCTGCTGTGGTGGCGCGTGCCGGTCCCCTTGCTGCTGCTGCGGCGGCGGCGGCGCCCGCTGCTCCTCCTCATCCCCTCCCGTCAGCGTCAGCTCCAGCAGCCACATCAGCTGGTCCATGGGAAGCTCCGGGTTGGCAGCCTGCATGTGGCAGGCAGGTGGCACACCGGCTGCGCAGGTCAGGGTGGGCCTGGAGGCGGAGCGGCTGCCTGTGTGCAAGAAGCAGCAGCGCGGTTGCCGGTGAATGGGTAGGGGAGGCGGGGGGGCACTCGCCTGCAGCATGTGCATGGCGGTGACGCGGGGGCGCACAAGGCGCATGCGGTGCTCCGGCGTGTGCTTCTGGTTGAACCTGCGGGCAGCGAGGGGCAGGCAGCGGTGGCTGTGGATGCGGCGCACTGTGCAGGCAGCCTCATCCGCGCACTGAGCAGACAACCAAGGGAGGGACCGCCTCCCGACTGTCCCCGCCCTGGTGCCTGCCCCCAGCCCCCAGCCCACCTGCCCACAATGTCGGACAGCCCGCGGTCCATGCATGCGCCACACAGGTCGAAGCCCATGGCATCGGGGCAGTCCCGGCACTGGTACCGCCGCCCCTGGATGGGGTACAGACCTGCACGCATAGCCGCGCAGCGCAGGCATGGCCGCTGGGCGCCGCCGACCGGCACGCTGGCAACGTCGGCTGGGACCAGGAGCGGCGGCAGGGGCTGGGCAGAAGACCAGCGGCGGGACAGGCGCAGCGCAGGGCGCCGCCCGAGTCGCGGCTGCGCAGGCAACGCCAGCACACACAGCATACCACAGCACAGCACAGATGCCCCGCGACTGACCCACACCCCGCACCGCCCCGCCCCGCACCACATCCGTCGCAGCCGACCCCGTGGTGTGTGTAGGCGTCGCCCGTCAGCTGCTGCAGGTTGGCTTCCAGCCGCTCAGCCAGCTCCTGACTGCGCCCGCCCGCAGCCTGGCGCCGCCGCAGCGCGGTGGCCAGCGCCGGGCTCAGCGCCTGCTGCTGCGGCTGGCCCCCAGGGGCCAGTGTCTCCGCCGCCGCCGCCTGCGCCACCCTCCTCGCCAGCGCCCGCCGCCGCGTGGCTGCCTGCTGCGCTGCCTGCCGCAGGCGCGCGCGGCGTGCCGGCCTCCTCGCCCTGCCCCGCCGCCGCTTCGCCCCGCACCTGCTGTGATTGGCTCGGGGGCTGCACGCTGCCGCTGCCACCGCCGCCTCCTTCCGCTGCAACCCGCTCCTGCGCCGCCTGCTGGCACTCTGCCTCCCTCCGCGCAGACTCTTCTGGGAAGAGCTGAACGAGCAGGTCGCCCAGCTGCTTGCACACGGCAGGGGGCTGGCGGGTGGCCATGCCGCAGGCGGGGCACTCCCAGGCGGTGGCGCCCTCGCCGCCGCCGCAGCAGCAGCAGCTCGGCAGGCAGGTGAGCTGGCAGACCGAGTGGCCGCAGGTCAGCACCACGGGGCGGCACAGCAGCTTGCGGCAGGCGGGGCTGTCGCAGGCAAAGTGCAGGGGCCGCCAGGCGCCGGGGCTGGCGGGCGGCGGCAGCGGGCCCGCCTCTTCTGGGTCGGGCGAGGCACCCCCAGACTGCCGCTCCTCGGCTGCAGGTGCGGGGGGATTGGGGAGGAGGGTTGGCAGGGGCTTGCCGCCAGGCTGTCCAGCCAAGTGCACACACGGATGGAGGGGTGAGGCATGCCACCACAGGGGGCCGCGCCACACCTTCAGTCTCCTGCCTGCGCGCTGCATACCGCTCGGGCAACTGGCACGAAAGGAAGCGGTGCAGCTTGGGGCAGATGGCCGGCAGGTGCGTGTACTTGGCTCGGCAGACCGGGCAGGAGGACGGCGTGTACGGCGACATGGCCTTGTGCAGGCACCAGAAGCAGTAGATGTGCCCGCAGGTCGTGTTCACTGCCGGCTTGTAGAGAAGATCCAGGCAAGTGGGGCAGCGCCACTCCTCCTCCCCCAGAACCATGGCTCCTGCAGCAGGCAGCGGCGTCACTTGCGGCAAGGTAGGCAGCGGCGGCAGCGGCGGTTGCATTTGGGCGGCGCTGCCTGGTTGCTCACTTGTAAACCGACACAGACCTGTAGTAGAGGCTGTTTACAAGGCCGCGGGCAACGATCACTCTGGGTTTCATGTGTGCCAAGTGAACCCCAGGCTTACCCACAGCCAACTACGCCCGACGAGCACTTCCAAGTTACATACAGACGTCCCTGAATGCGCTGATGAAGTGCATAGCGTCCAAGCCAAGCAAGCTTGCCACGTCCGCCGCTTCAATTTTGCTTGTTGGGGACCTCCTTTCGCTCTGGGATCACCTGTGCATTGTGTGAGGATCGCCAATTGGCACGCCCCAGCTTTCGCCCATGCTCCCTCCCAGACTCGCCAGGTTCAGGACACTTCAAACGGGCACAGCCGCTCAGTTGGTGCCTCCTGCGACACCCAGGAGGGCTGGCAGCTCATCCACCAGCGAGGCTAGGGCGGGCAGGGCAATGGGCGACAGCGTCTGCGGCGCCTCGTTCGGCGGCAGCTGCGGCGCCCAACCGAGAGTCGAGGCCTCAGCCACTGGAGGCGGCAGTGTCGACGCCTCAGCCGCTGGTGGCGGCGATGTCACCACCGGCGGCAGCACCCAGCCGCATCTGACCTTTGACATCTGGGACGTGGAGGGCCTGCCGACTGAAGTGCTGGATCTGCGGGCATGCGGAGATGCTGACGTGCAGTTGCTGGTCATCGCTGGCAACCCTGGGGCAGCGCCCTTCTACCAGCCCTTTATGCGCTCGCTGCATGCCAAGCTGGGGGGCCGAACACACGTGACCGCGATCTCCAACCTGGGCATGGTGAGGAGGCAGGCCTGGCCCGCACACGCCCGGCTCGACGGGCTGTCACGCAACGGTGCGGCGCCTCAGCTTGGGTTGCCGCACTGAGGATGTCATGCCTTCGTGCAGCAAGCGCGACTCTCCCGCTCCTGCTCGGCTGTGCCTGCAGGATGGCCAGGGCCTGACCCCACCCGGGCGGGTCTTTTCCCTGGAGGAGCAAATCCAGCACAAGGTGGCGCTGCTGAGGCAGCACTTTGTGGGCGCCGGGCGGCCGCCGCTGGTCATCCTGGGGCACAGCATCGGTGGGTGGCGGGAGGCTGGCTGCGGCTGCAATGAGCACTGGCGCTTGATGTGGCCAGCTGGTCGATCCAAGCCTCACAGCCCCTCTTTCTGCCTGACAAAACCCGCCCCCCACCGGCAGGCGCTTTCATGTCCATCCACGCCGTCCACCGCCTCGAGGCGCACCACCTGGGCAGCAGCCACGCCACGGCACATGCACTGGACAGTGTGGCGGCGCGGGAGTGGGAGGGGGGCGCTGATGATGAGGCACCAGCTGGCAATGGTGGCGACATGCAGGCGCAGCTGGTGGCTGAGCTGCAGCGGCAGGGAGGACAGCAGGGGCAGCAGGACCAGCAGCAGGGGCGGCCACTACCACACCGCGGAGAAGAGCAGGAGCGAGGCGAGGGCAAGGAGCGAAACCAGCGGCCGCCCTCCAACGTTGTGAAGGTCATTGGTCTCATGCCATTCCTGCAAGGCAAGAAGAGCATGATGCACAGCTGTGGGGCTTCGCCTGCTGTGACCAGGCTGGGCCTGCCCTGGCTCCTAAAGCGATGCAGTGCCTTGATGCCTCCGGTTGCCTTTGCCCTTCAGTGGACCCCAACTGCGGCCGGCAGCGCCGCCTTGCATGGCTCACCCGCCACCACACGCTGCTTGGGAGAGTGGCGGGCGCGCTGGGCTATTTGCCGCTGGGGTTGCGGCGAGGAATAGTGCGGCTGGCGGCGCCTGGCATGGACCCGCATGCCGTTCACACTGCAGCGCGAGGTGGGTGTGCGGCAGTCTGGGTACGTCTGCATGTGTTGTTTTTTTGCACAATGCCCCTCGCACTGCTAATCATACTTCGCTGCCCGTGCAGTCTTCACCACACCTGCCTGCGTTGAGAATGGGCTCTACATGGGCCTTACCGAGTTTGAAACGCTCTCTGCACCCGCTCCATGGTGGCACATAGCAGCGCTGGGATCCCGGTGGGCCGTGTTTGGAGCACCGCGTGACATCTGGTGCAAGGTAACGACAACGGAGAGCAGGGGTCCCCACATGCCCTTCTGCGATTGTTCACTGCCCCACCTATCGCTGCCTCGCAGCAATGGAAGTGGGATGCGATGCACCAGGAGGTGCCGGGCGTGGAGAGCTTTTTTGTGGAGGCGCAGACCCACGGCTTCTGCGTCTCGGCGGAGCAGTCAGGTGCCTTGTGGCGGTTGCAGGAGGGAGACATGCGTGTGCTGGCTCTGCTTGCCGTGCACCTTTGGCAGAGCCTCATTGTGGCCATGCCCGTGTGCAGATGACTTGGCAGCCCGCATCGAGGCCGTCGTCATCGCGGCGGTGCAGGCCGCTAGTAAGCTGTGAACCAGGGGGCATTTCCGAGTAACATGGTTCCTCTGCATTGGGCTGTAATGCACAGCGCTAATAGCTGCCAGCAGGCTGGTAAAATAGGATGAAGTCGGGGTGAGTTGGCCCACACTGGGAGCCACACGCTGCCACACTGCCCACTGCGGCGCCGCCAGCGGTATTAGAAGCCACTGAATGATGGCCACACCAATGCCACCACGGTCATACTCCCAAGCCAGTGTGCAGCCCGCCGTTGACGCTCTGAACGCAGCTGCGCTGGCATCAGCAGAGGGCCAAGCTCTCAAGAACCCGCTCGCCAGTACCATCACAAGCTACCCCTGGTAGCTACCAGAGCAGCTAGCAGCTTGGGCACCAGCAGGACCTGGAATTGGAATGCATGGCAGCACTTTTAAGGCCCCTTTAAGCTTTCTGATTTGATTCCCTCGCCTCTGCCGATCATTGAGCACACAGGTGTCTACGAAGCCGGTGGATGTCGCCCAGTCCTCTGTTGCGGCCTCAGGTCGCCACCGCACTGCGGTAGATGCGTGGACAAGCAATGCTGGCCTGGGCCGCCGTAGCCCTGGCGGTCGCGACGGGTGCGCTTGCGGCTCGCCGCTCCATGAGGCTCAGGAGAGGCACCCTTCACACAAACCTCCTACATGCATCGCAGGAGGGTGTGCAAGAAGCCTGCAAGTGACATTTTCGTGGCAACCGCTGGCCTGGGGTGCCTGCAGTGCGGATTGCGGAGGTGAGCTGGCGGCGACCTGCTGGCGGGCCCGCCGGCTCCATTTTCAGCTGCTTCCATTTCCAGCTGAGGCTTTGCGCCCAGCTTAAAGTTGCTTTGCCTGCTCCTGCAGGTGGAACCAGGACACGCGTGGTGCAATGCAAGGATTCCACGGGAAAGGTCGTCGCCAGCAGTATGTGCTCCACTGCTACCAAGCCAGTCTCCTCCCAGAAGTGCAGCATCCAGCCCTGCATCACATACTCCTGGCAACCGCTGGCCTGGGGCGCCTGCAGTGCAGCCTGCGGAGGTGAGCTGGCGGCGACCTGCTGGCGGGCCCGCCGGCTCCATTTTCAGCTGCTTCCATTTCCAGCTGAGCCTTTGCGCCCAGCTTAAAGCTGCTTTGCCTGCTCCTGCAGGTGGAACCAGGACACGCGTGGTGCAATGCAAGGATTCGACGGGAAAAATAGTCGCTGACGCCTTCTGCTCTGGTACCAAGCCGCTGTCGTCCCAGAAGTGCAACATCCAGGCCTGCGTCACATACTTGTGGCAAACGCAGGACTGGGGCGCCTGCACCAAGAGCTGTGGAGGTGAGCTGGGGGGCGCAGTGGCTGGCCATGCTTCCCGTTTCCAGCTGCGCTTTTCGCTGGTTCCAAACTATACTGCCTTCCCTGCTCCTGCAGGTGGCACCCAGACACGCGTAGTGCAATGCATGGATTCCACTGGAAACATCGTCGCTGATGCCTTCTGCTCTGGTACCAAGCCGCTGTCGTCCCAGAAGTGCAACATCCAGGCCTGCGTCACATACTTGTGGCAAACGCAGGACTGGGGCGCCTGCACCAAGAGCTGTGGAGGTGAGCTGGGGGGCGCAGTGGCTGGCCATGCTTCCCGTTTCCAGCTGCGCTTTTCGCTGGTTCCAAACTATACTGCCTTGCCTGCTCCTGCAGGTGGCACCCAGACACGCGTAGTGCAATGCATGGATTCGACTGGAAACATCGTCACTGACGCCTTCTGCTCTGGTACCAAGCCGCTGTCGTCCCAGAAGTGCAACATCCAGGCCTGCGTCACATACTTGTGGCAAACGCAGGACTGGGGCGCCTGCACCAAGAGCCGGCATCCCGCCGGGCGGAGGGTTCATTCATTCATTCAGCACACAGACCGGCCGCCTCTTGCTCGAGGGCGGCCCACTTTGGCCTGGGCAGCCCGGGCCGCCCTCCCCCCCGGGCGCATGTTCGGTGTTGGAGGGGTGCGCCCAGCGATAGGGGGCCCCTGAAGGCATGCGCCGAGGCCGGGAAGCGTGGTTCGGCGCTGCTGCACGCTTGGCGACTTGAACAGAACCGCGTGCCGCCGAGCTGCGGCCGCAGTTTCCGGCCCACAGTCTACGGCCGCAGCCACGGGACTCGGCGGCACGGCGTTTGGGCCCAAGCTTGCTGCCGCCGCCGCCGTGCCCGGGGGGCAGCGCGGCGGCGGCGGCGGCACGCTGCGACGCCCCCGAGCCACCGAGCTGCGGCCGTAGCTTCCTGCCAGAAGCCCACGGCCACAGCCACGGGACTCGGCGGCACGGCGTTTCGGTCCACGGCTTGCTGCCGCCGCCGTCGCAGGGGTGCTGCCTGCGGCGGCGGCGGCACGGCGTTTGGGTCCACGGCTTGCTGCCGCTGCCGCCGCCGCAGGGGTGCTGCCTGCGGCGGCGGCGGTAGCGCACGTGGCAACCCCCCGCGCTTCCTTGCCTCCCATCCACCGGACCCCGTCCTGCGCTTCACTTTGTTTCGGGAGGGGCTGCTCACTGCTCATTGCTCATTGCTCATCGCACACTGCTCAACGCTCATTGCCCTATATCCCACCCAGCCGCAGGACTCTACTGCCGCCCGCGCCCCGCCCCATCTGGCCGCTTGCGCGCCCCATCCCCCCTCGATGGGGCCCGCCCACACCGGGGCCTCCCCCCTCCCGCCCACTGCTTTCTCAACGGCCCCGAGCCGGGGCTGCCCTCATTGCATACATAGTGCGCCTTTCCCTGCTTTTCTAGTGACCTAGCGTTCCGCACTGCCGTTTGGCCAGCCCATGCTCCCGTACCGTTGCGTTTCTCCCCAATGCGCCATGCCACTTTGCCAGTCATACACACGTTTCGATGCGTGCCCTGTCAGCTGCTTGCGTTGCATGTCGCCTTGCTCCACCCCTGTTTTATTGCTTTCTCTGCTTTCGCCCGGTTCCCGTCCCGTTTCGGCGGGGAGTCTATGTTGCAAGCTAGTTCTTGCTTTACCAGACTTTAAGCCCACACAAGCAAGGTGAGCTGGGGGGCGCAGTGGCTGGCCATGCTTCCCGTTTCCAGCTGCGCTTTTCGCTGGTTCCAAACTGTACTGCCTTGCCTGCTCCTGCAGGTGGCACCCAGACACGCGTAGTGCAATGCATGGATTCCACTGGAAACATCGTCGCTGATGCCTTCTGCTCTGGTACCAAGCCGCTGTCGTCCCAGAAGTGCAACATCCAGGCCTGCGTCACATACTTGTGGCAAACGCAGGACTGGGGCGCCTGCACCAAGAGCTGTGGAGGTGAGCTGGGGGGCGCAGTGGCTGGCCATGCTTCCCGTTTCCAGCTGCGCTTTTCGCTGGTTCCAAACTATACTGCCTTGCCTGCTCCTGCAGGTGGCACCCAGACACGCGTAGTGCAATGCATGGATTCCACTGGAAACATCGTCGCTGATGCCTTCTGCTCTGGTACCAAGCCGCTGTCGTCCCAGATGTGCAACAGCCAGGCCTGCCTCACATACTTGTGGCAAACGCAGGACTGGGGCGCCTGCACCAAGAGCTGTGGAGGTGAGCTGGGGGGCGCAGTGGCTGGCCATGCTTCCCGTTTCCAGCTGCGCTTTTCGCTGGTTCCAAACTGTACTGCCTTGCCTGCTCCTGCAGGTGGCACCCAGACACGCGTGGTGCAATGCATGGATTCGACTGGAAATATCGTCGCTGACGCCTTCTGCTCTGGTACCAAGCCGCTGTCGTCCCAGAAGTGCAACAGCCAGGCCTGCGCCACATACTCTTGGGAAACGCTGGACTGGGGCAATTGCACTGAGAGCTGTGGAGGTGAGCTTGCGGGCACGACAGCTTCCATGCTTCCCTTTTCCAGGTGCTTTCGCTGGCGCCAAAGGATTGCTGCCTTGCCTGCTGCTGCAGATGGCACTCAGAAACGCGTGGTGCAATGCACGGAGTTGTCAGGAAAGATTGTAGCCGACGCCTTCTGCACCGATACCAAGCCCGCCTCGATCCAGACGTGCAACTTGGGGGCTTGCCGTAGATAGGGTTGTGTCCATCTGATAGTGCGGGAATGGCGGCCACCCATCCCTCTGTCCTGCTCTCTTAATCACACCACCAACCAGTAGATCCAGGATGGGTGGATTCCTGAGGCGAGAGACCATGGTCAGACCGTCTGGCCGGCCGGCCAGCCGCGGCCGACGGGCGCGCTGCGGCGGTGGGCTGCCAGCCAGTCGGCGCATCACTCACACGTCATTTCAGCCGATTGCACGTCGATCCTCACTAGCATATGAGGCTTAGCCTGGCTCTCTTTCTGTTACTTGCGTTCGTCACTTCTTGCTGGGCCTCCGAGGTAAAGGCAACCCACGACCCGTTCACCCTGGCAATAGATGCGTGTGTTGGGCTATCCTAAGCGGGCATGCCGCTTGCCAATGCAGGACTCGCAAGGCGAGGAGCCCCTCCCCCTGCCTGACGCCGCCAAGCAGGCCCGAGAGCTCAAGCTTGGTGAGCCAGGCATTTTTCGCCGCGCGTTTGGTTCTGAGCCGTGCCACCCGCCCGCCGCCGCCGCCGCCATCGGCGCCGCTCCCGCCGCCTGCCGCCGAGCACCCGGCTGCTACCGTCTCCCACCCCTCTGCAGGCGAGAAGCTAGCGCTGGAAGATCTTGGTCCTCTCATTGTCGCAGCAGACGGCAGCCTGCGGCGCATCGCCAACTGGCAGGCGCTGAGCGAGGGGGAACGCCAAGTGGCGCTGCGCCGCCTTGCCAAGCGCAACAAGGAGCGGCTGGCCGGACTCCAGGGGCAGCAGCAGGAGCAGGAGCAGGAGCTGTGAAGCCTGCTTGTAGCGAGCAGCAGCGGTGCAGCAGATGTTTGCCGGGGCCGAGTCCGCAGAGGCAGGCGGAGCAGGCGGCGGCGGCGCGACGCAGGCAGTCCAGCAGGTGGTTGCGCTGACGCAGTCCGACTTTGTGCTGCTGGTGCTGCTGGTGGTGGCGCTGTTCTACGCGGGCGCAGCCATCATCTACCGAGTGGCGCTGGGGCCCAGCACGGACGACCAGCTGCGGGCGGCGGCGGCACGCACCAAGCGCGACTGACCCCACCAGCCAGGCAGGCGGGGTGGCTTGGGCGGCGGCACGGGCGACCACCGCCGGCAGTAGGCAAGAGTGATATCTTTAGAAGCAACTGAGTTCGGTGCAGTGCACTAGAAGCTGGCTGAGTCGGCAGGGGCGATGAATCCGCTGCGCGGCGCCTCCGGCGGCGGCGGCAGCGGCCTGCGGGCTTCCTGGGAGCGCCGCCAGCAGGCGGCAGGGCTGGCGGCGGCTGTGGCCCAGCTGCCGGCGCTGGCGCGCAGCAAGCCGGCATTCTTTGCGGCGCAGCTGCAGCCTGTGCTGCAAGCTCTGCGGCAGGCCACCGCTTTTAGTGAGGATAGCAGCAGCGACAGCGAGGAGGAGAGTGAGGAGGGGGAGCAGGGGGAGGCGGAGCCTCGTGGTGCAGCAAGCAGGCGGCGGCGAGCCCCTCCTCAGCAGGCGCTGCTGCTGGCAGAGGCGGCGGCGCACCTGCGGCGCTTGGCGGGCATCGACGTGCACACGGGCGCCAACACCTGCCTCCTGCTCTTCCTGCTGCTGGGGATGGCGGCGGGTGGTGATAGGGGAGATGCGGCGGCAGAGGCGGAGGCAGACGGGGCGGGCGAGGACTCGGCAGGTGGGGTCCTGCGCTTGTGGCTCGCCCCGTCCTGGCCGCTGCCAGCTGGCTGTGGGCATTGAAACGCGATTGCTCTCCTGCCGGCCCCCGTTGGCCTCGCAGACCCACCCCTGCTGCAGCTGTGCGCCACCCTGGGCTGGCAGGCGCTGCTGCTGGAGGCGCTGCCGCTGATGCCCTCCCAGCAGCGGCGACGGCTGGAGCGCGGCCTGGTTGCTGCCGCGGCCGCCACGGCCGACGATAGTTCTGCCAGAGCCCAGCAGCAGGTGTTGTTTTGGCAGCAGCTGGTGGTGCACCTGGCAGGCAGCGCGCATCGGCAGCTGCAGGATTGCCTGCTCAACGGGACTAGCAGCGGCAGTCGAGGCGGGAGCGGGGCTGTCGAGCAGCAGGCACACCTGGCCGACGCTGCGGCGCTGCAGCAGCTGCTGCTGGTGTGCCCGGCAGCGGCGGCAGGGCCGGCGGCAGCAGCTTCTCTGGAGCGGCTGCAGGCGGCTGCTGATGTAGGCATGGCCGAGGTGATGCACAGCATGCAGCAGCTGCCGGAGGGGCAGCTGCACCAGCGCCAGGAGCCCGCGTTCCAGCAGCTCTGCCAGCTGCGGGCCCGCCTCATGCTGGCACGTGCCGCCGCCGGCGGTGGCGGCAGCGGCTGCGCTCGGCAGGCCGAGTGGGACGCGCGGTGCCTGCACCTTGGGCGTCCCAGCAGCAGCGGCGGCTCGGCCACCCCGCCGCAGGTGTGGCGCGAGGTGCTTCAGATGCCGCCGGATGTTGCAGCAGCCAGCCGATCCGTTGCGGCTGCCAGCTGTGCTGGGTGCCCCACCCGCCAGCAGTTTCTGGCAGCGTGCGTGGCAAGCAGGTGCCTCCTACAGGCAGACAGCTGGCAGCATGGCACCTGCTGCAGCAGCAGGAGCAGCAGCATGGGGCTCGACAGCTGCTGCCGCCAGACAGCGTGCACGGCGCTGCCAGGGGTGCGCTTTGAGCCGCCACCTCTGCCAGCTCTCCAGCCACCACCTGTGCCCCAGCAGGCCTCGCTCAGCAGCGGCAGCTTGAGCAGCAAAGGCGGGGCCGCCAGCGGTGCGGCATCGATGGTGGCGGCCGCAGCGGAGGCAGCGGCAGAGCTCGCCAGCGAACCGGCATGCCTGGGGCCTGCCCAGCTGGCGCTGGCAGCGCTGCAGCTAGCAGGGGAGCAGGTTGCATCGGGCACCGCAGCAGCAGGGCTGCCTGAAACGGTGCCAGTAGAAGTGGAGGCGGGCATGGAAGTCAACTGGATGCTGCTGCTGGAGCTGGCATCAGCCGCAGCAGCCGATGTCGTCGCGCGCAGGCAGCAGCGCCAGCTGCTGCTGCAGCAGCTGCACGGCCGGCAGGCGTGGCAGGCGCGCCTGCGGCGTGCGCTGGCAGCAGACTCTGGCCTGCAGCAGCGGTGCCGCCGCGAGCTGGTGGCTGTCGCCAACCGCCTCTCCGCAGGTGTGGTGATCTCCCTGCTGGGTGTACCTGACGAGCACACAGCAGCTGTGGGAGGCTTCCACGGCGCATGCCCTCATGCGTTCATCGTGTTGCTTGTGCTTCGTTGGTTGTTCCAGCCGTGTGTTTTGTCAGCTCTGCGTCTGCTGACAGGGCTGCACCACCTCACCTCCGCATGCCTCGCAGATGCCGGCGGCGGGGCGGAGGCAGCTGTGGTGCACGGCGAGGAGCGGCGGCGCCGCACGGCAGCCGCCGTGCGTGCGCTGCTGCCCCATGCGCTGCTGTGCCCTGCGGCGGTGCTGGAGCGGCTGGTGCGGGCGGCTGTGGTCCAGGCGGGCGAGCAGGTGCGCGCACACTAGCGGCTGTGCGCCTTGGCACCCCCTGCGTCTTCGGACTCCAAACCCACCACCTCGCCGCAGCCTCTTGCCAGCCAGCTCCAGCCGTGTGACTGCTGCGCCACGCCACGCTGGCGCCGCCCTCCTTTCGCTGCAGGTGGGACTGCTTCTGGATGTGCTGCGCGAGATGCGGCCGCTGGCGGCCTATCGCCACCAGCAGCAGCAGGATGATGGCGGCGAGGACCAGCCGCCGCTGCTGCTCCACCTCCTGGCTCAGCTGCTGGCGCCTCGTGGTGGTGGTCAGGCATGTGCGGCAGCACTGGACACCCCAGGCAGCAAGGAGGCGTTCCTGCAGCTGGCTGCTGGGCTGTGCGGAGCGGCGCGCACCAAGACGAGGGCAGGCGCGGCTGGTGGCGCTGCAGCGACAGCAGCGGGCGAGGCTCCACTTGCTGGCAGGGAGGAGCCGCTGGTCAGCCGGGCGGCCCTGCTGCGGCATGTGGCGGCCCCTGCGCTTCAGCACCAGCTGCTGCAGCAGCAGCAGCAGCAGGGCAGCCCCGCGACAGGCTTGCTGCTGCAGCTGCAGCTGGCAGACCTGCTGCTCCCGCAGCCAGCAGGTGCGGCTGCTGGCGAGGGTACAGGAGAGGAGCAGCAGCAGCTCAGGCAGCTGGAGCCCCTGCTACGTGCCCTCGTCGACATGCAGGGCCGCCGCATCGACAGGTCGCCCACAGCGCTCCAGGCGGCTGGCATTGACAGCCTGGAGCTGGCGGCTGGCATCCTGCAGAGGTGTGGCACCGGCGGCGGCAGCAGCGCAAGCACATACTTCCAGCAGCAGCTGCCGCCTGCCAGCCAGCAGCTGCAGCAGCTGCAGCAGCTGCGGCAGCGCATGCTCCAGCTGCTGGCTGCCCTGCTGCCCTGCTGCACTGCTGCGGAGGCAGACGAGGTGCTGCAAGCCGCGCTGCCCGGCGCCATACAAGCCGCGATGATGCCCGCGGCTGCGGCAGCGCTGCGGCAGCAGCAGGGCGGCGCTGGTGCTGGTGCCGTCCTGCCAGGCGCGCATGCTGCTGCAGTGGAGGCGGCCTGCCGAGCTGCCCGGGCGCTGGCCCTGTCTCCCGACCAGGCACCCATTGCAGGCGAGCAGCAGGCACGGCTGGCGGGCGAGGCAGCAGGCCTGGCGGCCGCACCAGCACCACCCTCAGCGCCGCGCCAGGTGGCCGTAGAGCGCACCCTGCAGCACCTCACCCGCCACAGCGCCCGCCTGGCGGCGGCAGCCCTCGGCGCAGCCTCCCCGGCGCCTGGTGCAGCGCGGCCGGGCACATCGCCTGGGGTCGCACTGACGCCGGCAGAGGGCCAGGCGCTGGGGCTGCGCTGCTTCCGAGAGCTGTGCCAGCTGGCGACTGCGATACAGCCAGCGCAGTACGACTGTGCCACTCTCCAGGCCGGCCTGCTGCAGCTGGCTCAGCAGCTGCTTCGGCCGGGCCCAGCTGGGCAGCCTGCTGAGGTGTCAGGTGGCCTCCTGCCCGTGGAGCAGGTTCGGCAGCAGCTGGCGGCGGCGGCGGCGCCGCTGCCTGCGGGTCGCCTGCGCGACATTGTGCTGCTGGGCACACAGCAGCAGGACCTGGCGCAGCGGGTGCCTGGTTAGTTACCTGCTGTGCCCTCTCCCTGTCCTGCTGGTGGAGCTTGTGTCCCGCCCCCTGCCTGTTACATTCTCTGCTCCCTTGACAAGAAGCCGGGTGCACTTGATACCAAGGGTGCAGCAGCACAGCCAGCTGCTGCCAATCCAACGCCAGGGAAAGACGCTGCTTCTGAGCCGAGCAGCCAGCCATCCACACGTGCTGCTGCCCTGCAACCCACTGGCAGCTGTGCATGCTCTGCCTGCTCTGCACTTCCATGTAACAATCGACCCCCTGGTGCGCTGCTTCCGGCGAGGTGAAGGTCTGATTACTTTGCAAAAAGAATGACAGGTACTGAAGAATCTGACAGGTACTGAAAATTCAGAGTCGAAAAATGCCAGGGGCTGGTGGCACACCGACAGCTGCCGAGCCAGCCGCCAGCGGGGACACGTGCCGCGCTGACTCTCTGTTCTGGAGGGGATCCGCCGCACCAAAAACACTCTCTCTTCCTCCATCTAACCCTCATTTCTGCAGGGGAGGGGGCAAGACAGCGCGGGTGGAATGAGCGGGAGGCTGTTAGCAGACTCCGAGCGAGGGGGACAGGCTTGCGCGTCGGGCGGGTGAGCGCGCGAGCGGCATCTGTGTGCAAGTGCACCCCGCTCCTGCTGGTCTGCCTGATTGTGCGCACCCACAGCATGCAGCCCCACCCTGCCGCCCACCTGAGCCTGCATCGGCCGCGCCAGCGCGGGTCGCGCTCAGGCATCCTTGTCGCTGGGCGCATCTGCGGGCAGCGGATTCTTCAGCCTCTCGACCTTCTCGCGCTCCTGCGCCAGCTGGCTGTTCAGCTCCGCAATGGCGGCGTCCATGTTGGCCATCTCCTTCTTCAGCTGCTCCGCCTCCACCGCCGCCTCATCCAGGAAGCGCAGGCCTGGGAGCGTGCGCTCCAGGGAAGTGCACGCCCACTGGCCCAGGCTGGTGAGCAGCGGCTGGAAGGCAACCACTGTCAGCATGGTTGCTGTGTAGGTAAAAAACATCTCAGCTGAAAAGCTGGAGGGCACCCCCGCGGTGACCCTCAGCGGCAGCCCGCCGGGCGGCCGTGCGGCCCGCGGCCCCAGGCAGCTGCAGGCGGCCCGCAGGGAAGGCGGCGGCAGCCCGCCTGGGGAGCGGAGCCAGACGCTGCCGCCGCAGGTTGCATGCCGCCTGGGGTGAGGTTCTGGCAGGTGAGGTGCTGGCAGGACTGCGCGAGCTCAGCTGCATGGATTACTTTGGCGCTGTGAGCTCAGTTGCGGCTCTGGAACCTCCTGGAACCCAGTGCACGCTTCGAAGGCTGCATTTGTTTGAAACGGCCGTATGCGCGCGTGCAACACATGAGGCGGTACACTTGCAAGCTCCCCATTCCACAGCATTGGTTCCTCTTTCCGCGGTCCCATGCCTGTGAACAGGCGGACACACTATCCAGTCGCCCAGATGTCGCCCCGCCCAGTCCTGCTTCCGTCTCGCCTGGCCTCGCTCTCACTCACTGCCCGGCCCACACGGCCGGCACCTAGGGCGCGGCGCCCCAGGCTGGTGGCTGCTGCTGCAGCGGCGCACAGCGGTGCCGACGGCGGCGAGGCGCACCAGCGGCGCCCCGACCAGAGCCCTCCGAGCTTAAGAAAGGCCGTGTGGCTCCTGCACTGTGAACGTGTGCCTGCTGGGCCTGTGTATGCTGCTGCTTGCTGCTTCATAGAGTAACCTGCCCGCCGGCAGCGCTGTCGCTCCGCACCGCCCGCCCGCCAACCCTTCCATGCCATCCCCCTGCGTGCCGTGCAGGGCACGCAGCGCTCATGGTGGGCGTGGCTGTTTGAACCGCCGCCAGTGCCCGGCCGGGTGCTGGAGGCGCAGATTCGCCACGAGATGACGGTCTTAGAGCTGAGGCAAATCCGGGAGGATAGCCAGCGACTGTCGGAGGATATTGATAGAGACTTTGAGGAAATCAAGCGGCGGCTGCAGCAGCAACTGGCCCAGCGTAAAGCCGCCAGCACTGCGCGCACCACGCCTTCTTCCAAGGCGGCACCGCCTCCCCCTCCTCCCAGCGGGCCCTGGCCTCCCGCGCCCGAGGCACCCACACCGGGGCCCGTCCACGCACGGGCTGCTGCAGCCGAGGCTTCTGCGGCTGCTGCCGTGGCCTGGGCCTCCGCTGCTGTGGGGCATGAGGCGGCCGCAGAAGTGGGGTGCGCCGCCCGTTAGTCCGCCACCCGCCACCGGCGCAGCGCCTGCGCCATCTGGTTTGCCACGGCTGAGCGCGAGATGACTTCCTACCGAGGGGCCAGTATTCGCAGAGCGGCCCCTCACCAGCGCAGCTCTGCACGAGCGCTTTGTAAACGCTATGCCCTCTACCAAGGTGGGTGGCAGCCGCACTGCTTGGCAGCGCCGGTGGTGCTGCTGCCAGCTCACCCCCCTGCTCGGTCCCCCCCTGCAGCCGTGTCGGCAGCTATAGCCATTGCAGCCAATGGATCCACAGCCTGCTGCTGCATTCATGTGCAGGTCAGAGCCCCCACCGTGTGCGACGGGGCACCATGCAGAAGGATGCCCAGGGAGGCACCAGCTTCACCGACATCCAGCAGCGGGCCCAGATCAAGGCGGACCGCAGTTTGCGTCGGTACCTGGACCCTGCAGCTCACCTGCGCTGCGGCAAGGGCGGAAACCTAGCTAGAAACCTAGCTTCCTCGACACGTCTGCATGTGGTCTGCCTGCCCGCGCTCTCCTCTCCCGCTTGCACCATGTTACCGAACAAGGGCTGCCGGCCACAGGGCCCATCAGATGAAAGTCGACCACGCAACGAGAGGAGAGGGGCGGCGTCAGGTGGCCACGGCGGCTGCGGCGGCGGTGGCGGCGCTGCTGCCCAGCCTGGCCCCTGAGATGGAGCTGTACTTGCGGGACAGGAGGCGGAAGAAGTCGCGCCAGTAGAGCTCAAACCGCACCCACTCCAGCGGCGCCTGCAGCGGGCGCGAGGCCGCCGGCGTGGCGCCAGCTGCCGTGGGGGCCGCCAGCGCACGCCGCGCGTCTTCCAGCATGCGCCGCGGCGACAGGCAGCCCGTGGCCAGCCAGGGCGCGATGTTGGCTGAGAAGTTGGAGCCGTGGGCGGCGGCCACCGGGCCCGCCGCCGCCTGCCCGCCGGCCGCCGCCACAAAGCGCTGCAGCTGGCGCAGCGCCTCGCCCTCGCCGCCCCGGGGGCTGCCGCCCTCGCCGATGCTGCCGGTGGCGGCGGCGGCGGGCAGGGGCTGCAAGCCCAGCTGCTCCAGGGTGGGGATGTCCCCGGGGTCCACCCGCCCCCCCAGTGGCAGCCCATGCAGCTCCTGCGGCGCAGGCAGGGCCGCCCGCACCGCCACGCCCCCTATTTGCTCCCGGAACTTGTCTGCAGGGCGGCGGGGCGGGGCGGGGCGGGACAGGGAGCCATGCACACACACGTGTTGAGGGAGGCGAGCAGGGGCTGCACGCGTGCATAGGCAGCCGACGCGGCTTGGCCACACAGCATGCGACGCGCTCCAGCCCAGCCAGCCAGCCAGGGGTTGTGGGCGTTTGCAGCTGGGCAGCGGCAGCAGCAGCGGCGCGCTAGCGGGCCCCACCAAAGTTCTGCGGCAGCTGGTCCAGGCTGAAGGGCAGGTCGTCCAGGTGGCACAGCGTGTTGGCCCAGTAGGCGCGCAGGCGGGCGCCCCCCGCCTCCGCCGCCGCCCTCACCGCCGCCTCGGCGCGCAGGTCCTCGTACGCCACCTGGTGGTGGCGGTGGTGGTGGCAGGGGGGCGGGGGGGAGCGGGGTGGGGTGGGGTGCAGGCATGGGTGCGGGCATGGGTGCAGGACAGCGCAGGCACAGGCAGCTGCATGCAGCACAGCAAGGTGCATGGGCATGTGTGAGGGGCAGGCCGCCAGGATGACGCCAGCCAGCTGCCCAGCCAGCTCCCCAGCCCCAGCGCAGGAGGACTTCGCCCATGCCAGGCACGCCCAGCACCTCTCACCTCTGTGTGGCAGTACACCGCGCCCGCGCCGGTGCGCCGCACCAGTTCCCCCACAACCTCTTCCGGCCGCCCCACCCGCACCACCAGCTCGCTGCCGGCGGCGCGCAGCGCGGCGCGCAGGTCGGCCACCGCCTCAGCCAGGAACTGGGCGCGGTAGGGGCCTGCGGGGGGGGAGGTGCGCCATTGGGGACCATGCAGGCGGGGCGGGCGTGGGGGACGAAGGGAGAGGGCGCAGGAGCAGCACAGCGCAGGGAGAGCCGGCTGGGATGGGCAGGCACTGCGTGACGTGGCGGCAGCGGCGGCAGCCGACTGCCAGGCCTGGCGCAGGCAGCCGCCATGGCGGCCCCCCAGCAAGCACCCCCCCCCCCCGCCGCCGCACCCACCCGTCTTGTCGTATCCCTGCGGGCTCTTGCCGTACTCCCGCGGGTCGAAGCAGTACACCGGCAGCAGGGAGGAGCACTCCGCCTGCGCGCGCGCCAGCGCCTCGTTGTCGTGCAGGCGCAGGTCGCCGCGGAACCACACGATGCCCGGGCGGCGGCCGGCGCCGCAGCCCGGCGCCGCGCCGTCGCCCACGCCCGCGGGCTGCCGGGTGGGCTGCGGCTGGCGGACGCCGCGGGCGGCCGACTGGGTGCCGCGGTCAGCGGCGGGGGCGGGAGCGTCCACACCTGTTGGGCGGCAGGTGAGGCCGGCGGCAGGTTGGCTGGGGTTGCCACGGCGCCGCGTGGCACTCTTAAACAAGCCACTGGGTGCAAACGACGGTGCTGACCTCCCAGCAGGCACACCTTGAACTGCTTCAGCTGGCGCAGCTGTTGCGCGAGGCCGCCGAGCACGCAAGGCTGGTGGGCGACTGCGGGGGCGGAGGCACAGACGGCCAGCAGGCGGGGGCGGAGCGGGCGCCTTTGCCAGGGCGCCGCTGCCGCCACGGGGAGGACGCCGCGGCTCACGGTGCTCGCCATCGCTTCCCCTGTGCGGTGCCGCGAGCCGATGGAGCGGGCTGCAGAGCTGCGCACAGCCCTACCCCACGTCCCGTCTCGTTCAACTGGCCCGCAGAAGTGGTTCCCGACACCAGAAGCAAATGTGCAGCCGCGGTAATGCGCGATGGCTCTCCCATGCCCCGGCTTTCGAAAGCCGGGGCACTCCACGTACGGCTGGGTGGACCAGCGCTGTTCTATACCTCTGCAATCCCTCCCACGCCAGCTGACTTTGATCAGGGTGCGATTCAGGCCCGACCACCGGCTATCTTCCCTATTCTTCAAACATGTGGGACATGCATGGCGGAGGCAGGCGCCTTGAGGAGACACCCCATTACCTCGAGTCCTGCTGCAAAGAAGTTGACAGCGCTTATGGTGGGATTGAGATTGGCTGAAGGCCCACGCCAAGCGCCCCACCATCCCCACATCTCGCCCGTGCCGCCCACTGCTTCTGTTCCCCGTGCCTGTTGCATGTGTGTTGCCAGCAGCAAATTCACTGTGTCATTTGCTGCCAAAGCTGTGTGCTACTTCTGATGAAAACAGGGTGCACCTTTGAAGCTGCACCCTAGTAGCTGTGGCAGCTGACCATCGCCATCAAGCGGCAAGCGATCACCTGCCCTTTTGGTGGAGGACACAGCGCAGTGTCGCGGCCAGGCTGCAACCACAGGCGCCCTGCGATGATGTGGGCTGACTCATTTCACCACTCCCCACGCGCTCCTCGAAGACCCCCGATGGTGATCACTGGGCACGTTGTTCAGAGCCCTGTCCTTCGAGACCCGTCTCGAGGCGGAGCTGCTGTTGACGGGAGAGTGGGCCGATTGGCAGCTTCATGCTGCGCTGGGTTGCCACGGGGGGTCCGCCATGAGGGCTGCGTGCCTTCTGAGAGTTGCGACTCGCTCAGCCAATTGCTGCTCCTTTCGCCTCCCACCACTCTGCGACTGCTGGGCTCCAGCCAGCAGTGCCAGGCGGGCTTGCAGCACCCTCCACGAGTGGTGATTTGCGGTGCGTGCCGCTTTGCACCTGGTTTGTGCCAACCCTGGCTCGGAACAGCCCGGCACCGCTCCCTGCATGCGAATTCGCGCCCGGGAGAGGGACGCGAAGGCCTGTGGCACAGCGGGGCCCGGTGTGCGCATCAGCAGGCGGCAGGTGGCGGCAGCGGCCCACCCGCCTCTGGCCCGCCCCGTGGTTGCAGGGCGGCAGGCTTGACTTGGACACCGCCCCGGGGCTCACACCAGATAGGCGTCTCGTCTTCCGCTGGGCTGGTTCGGAGCGCGCTAGCCGGCAGCGATGCGGATAGACGAGGGCTTCTGCCCCACGCTCCGCCCCACGCGTGCTGCCTTTGAGAAGCCGTTCTGCGACTATGTGCGGGAGGTGTTTGCCAAGAACCCCGACCTGCCCTGCTTCAAGGTGGGTAGCAGACGGGGAGGAGAGGCGGAGCAGCAGGAGGAGGAGGGAGCTCGGTGTTGCCGGGTGTGATGCCTGGACCCAGCCCCACCTGCCGTCTGCTGCCGCCGGCGCCGTGCCCGCAGGTGATCCCGCCCAAGGGCTGGGCGCCGCGCAAGGCGCCGCTGGACCTGGAGCGCATCCGCATCAACACCCCCATCAAGCAGCACGTGTTTGGCAAGAGCGGCGCGTATGTGTGCATCCTGGAGGAGCAGCGGGTGCGGGGCGCTGGCGCTGGGCCTGGCCAGCCACAGCTGGCGCAGGCCCCCGCGACAGCTGGTGCAGGCGCAGCAGCCGGGGCTGCCCATGCAGCAGCCGCAGCAGCGGGCATGGGCGGCGGGCGTGAGATGCATAGAGAGGCTGGCAGGAGCCTGCCGCCGGCCGAGACGGCAGCCCCAACCAGCCGGCTGCCGCCTGTGGGTGCTGCAGGGCATGACGGCCGCCGACTTCAAGCGCCTGGCGGCGCGGAAGGAGCACCAGGCGCCCGCAAAGGGTGGGTGCCTGCTGCTGGTGCTGGGTGGGCGGGGCAGCTGCAGCAGCGGCGCGTGGTTGGCTGCAGCAGTGGGTCTGATTCCTGCCCGGCAGTGCTGGCACAGCCGCTTGGGCGTCGTGCCTCCCCGGCCGCTGGCTGCTCTCATTCGCCCCAGCTACGGCACGACTGCTGGCCCTCGTCATGCGCAACCCGCACATGCGCGCCTGCCCCTGCCCGCCCGCCCCGCGTCCCCCCCGCCCTTGCAGGCCACCGCGACGACCACCTGAGCGAGCGCGCCTTCTGGTCTGGCGTGACCAACAGCCCGCCGCTGTACGGCGCCGACACGCCCATCTCCCTGTTTGACAGCCGGGTGGCGTGGGGGTGGAACCTGCGCCACCTGGGCTGCATGCTGCAGGACGGCGAGTACGAGGTGCCAGACATACCGGGTGGGTGGGTGGGCGCCCAGGGCTGCGCGGTGGGGTGTGGTGGGGGCTGGCGCAGCGGTGGGGGTGTGGCTGGGCTGGCGGCGGTGGTGATGGTGCTTGTGCGTCAAGCGGGCAGGCAGCGGTCTTTTTCCCGGCTGTTGTGCGGCGCCCTGGTCATGCCCTGCTTGCCCCGTGCTCCTGCTGCTGCGCATCACACGCCAGCCCCTCCACCCCTCCTCCTCCCGCTCCCCCTGCGACGGGCGTCTTGGCCCCCCCTGCCTGGCTGCAGGCGTCACGAGCCCCATGACCTACTTTGGGAGTGAGTGGCGGCGCCGGGGGGCGCACGCGCCGCGCCGGGCACGCGGGGCAGAGTTGCTTGCCGCCGGCCGCCGGCCCCCGCGGGCGCCGCCACCTGCTGACGGCGCCCCTCGCGCGCACGCCCCCTGCAGTGTGGAAGAGCTTCTTTGGGTGGCACAAGGAGGACATCGACCTCTACTCCGTCAACTACCTCCACTTTGGGGCGCCAAAGGTGGGACGGCGGCGGCGCGGCGGCTGCGCGGCGGCTCGCGCGCGTGTCGTGCCCAGCGAGCGTTGTGGGCGAGGCGGTGCCCAGCTGCTGCGCGCGCAGCCTCGGGCGCAGATTGTGCACCTGGCCCCCACCCCCCACCCTCCCCTGCCAGGTCTGGTACTGCGTGAGCCCCAGGGACAACCCCAAGTTTGACGCCATGGCCCAGGCACTGTACCCAGACCTGCACCGCGCCTGCCACGGCTTCATGCGGCACAAGGTGGGGGGCATGCATGGCGGGAGGGCCAGGCCAGGCGGGCAGGCCAGGCCAGGGCAGGCACTGACCACACAGTGGCTGCGGCCCTGGAGCACCAGCCCTGTTGCTGAGTACCCAGCTGCTGCTGCTCCCACCTCTCACCGCACCCCACCACCCACCCCGCCACCACCCGCAGCTCAACCTCCCCGTGCCCCTGCACCCTCCCCCGCAGGACATCCTGATCAGCCCCCGCATGCTGCGCTCCTACAACGTGCCCTACATCCAGGCCAAGCAGGAGGCGGGGGAGTTCATCGTGCTCAACGCGGCCGCATACCACGCCGGCTTCAACCTGGGCTTCAACTGCGCAGGCGGGTGTGGGGCGCGGGGCTGCGCCGTGGAGCCTCGTGTGGGTGTTTAGGCAAAGTCAGAGTGCATGCCTAGGGCCCAAGGGCCAGCGCACAACAACCACTCCCGTCCCCCCTGCCCCCACATGCTTCACCCCTGCCCCCTCCTTGCCCCCTCCCCCTCCCGCCGCGCAGAGGCCGTCAACTTTGCGATGGAGGACTGGGTGGAGGCGGGCAAGGCGGCGGTGCCCTGCACCTGCTCCGCGCTGCCGCAGGGCGTGCAGCTGGACATGGGTATCTTCTGGTGAGGGCCTGGTCAAACGCGGTCGTACGCCCCGCGCTGCTGCATCCTTCCCATGCCGTGGCGGCGACAGCACTTTGCTGCCGGCACAATGCAGGCCCGAGCCATGGCCGGCGCCCCGCCTTCTCCCTCCTCTGCCGCCTCAACGTCGTGCCCTGCCCTGCCTTGCAGCCCGGAGCTGCGGGAGGAGAGCTCAGATGAGGAGGAGGACAGCTCTGATGAAGAGTCTGGCTCGGAGGAGGAGTCAGAGGAGGAGGGGGAGGAGGAGGGGAGCTCAGAAGAGGAGGAGAGCGAGGAGGAGGAGGAGGAGGAGCAGCGCCCCGCACGACGCGGCGCGGCGGCNAAGAAACGGGCTGCAGCAGCTGGCGCGGGCGGCCGTGGCCGCGGCCGGCGGGCAGCCGCGCGGCAGGACGGCAGCGAGGCGGAGAGCGGCAGCGACGACGAGCGGCCCGCTGCCAAGCGGCGGCGCGGCGCGGCCGGCGCGGTCAAGCCGGTGCGCACGCCCAAGCTGCCAGAAGTGTGCAAGATGGCGCGGGTGAGTGTTGGGGCTGCCCCGTGCTGCCTGCCCCCCCGCTGCTGCACGCCTGTTGCGTCCTGCCTGGCGGCTGCGGCTGCAGCCTGCTCTTGCTCGCACTGCGCTCACCCCAGCTGCTAATTGTTTCTGTGCGAGCAGGCGGACGATGTGCCGCGGGATGCCACGCACGCGCAGTGGGGCAAGGTAGCCGAGGAGCGCCCGCTAGCGATTGTGGAGCGGGATGAGCGCAGCCGGCAGGTGGGCGCGCCTCCTGCAAGCCCAGTGCGCTCATCCAGCCCCGCGCCGAGCTCCCCCAGCCCCAGCTGCTACTGTTTGCACCTGGCACTGCGGCTCCCTGGCCGGCAACCGCTGCTGAGCACCCTGACCTCTGCCCCTCCCGGCGGCCCCGCCACGCAACGCCCGTGCAGCTGCGGTTCAGCCTAGTGCACCGGCTGGCCAAGGCATCCAACAAGCCGGGAGCCATGTGGGTTGGCCTGCTCAAGGAGGGGCCAGATGGGCTGTTCAGGTGACAGGCGCTGGAACTAGCTCTGCCTTAGCTAGGGCCAGGGCTGGGGGTCCGTCCGCCATGTGGTGCCCAGTTGCTGGCAGGGTCGTGGACACACCACTCTCCGCCTGAACCCGCGCTGCCCCTCCCCACCGCCACACCCTGCAGGCCGCAGTCGAGCGCCAAGCTGCTGAAGCTGGGGATGCACTTCCCGCGCGTGGTGCGCGTGCGTGCGGAGTGGGTGGTGCCCGAGGACAAGCGGCGAGGCGGCTGGGCTCTCAAGACCAAGCAGGCGGGCCTGGATTGGACGTGGCATGTGGCTGCCTGCCTGCTCTGCACTTGAGTGCTGTGAGCCCCGCTTTCAGCTAGCACGCCGTGTCACCCTTTTGTTTCAGCTTCTCCACCGTTGCTGCCTGTAGGAACGCATCCTCATGTGAGCCGGCCTGGTGGACTGATGTGAAGCGGGATCTGACACCAGCACAGGAGGCCGTCTCACATTGCATGCACATCCACTGTACTCTAAATGCCCTCTTCTCCCTCTTCATCTGCTGAAAATACCCACCCTACTCAGTGCTGGGCCTGCTTTGACCCACCAACCAGTACCCTGCATCCCTCATGTCACGGCATTTCACGTCCTTTTACTCGGCGGTTTTTTTGAAGGCTTGTTTGTGTTCGTCCGTTGCACTGTTTGCCAGCTACACTCCTATTCTGCTGGAGTTGATTATTTTGCTTGCTAGATGGCTGTTGTGCTAAGCTCCTTTTGCCCAATTTGTAGTTAATTTGGCGATGTGGGCGCATGCGTGACGCCACCTCAGCGCTGATGATGCCAAAACGCCAGGCGTGCTGTACAGCGATGCGGTTGCTCCTAATTTGTTCCAGGGCAGGGGCACGTCCCTGCGTCTCTCCAGTCCTCCTAAACAGGGTGGAGTTCACAACCTGTTTATTCGCACCCAACCCGCCAGCTCGGCGGGACGCGCGTCAGCATCAGCCCCATTCTCAGGTCTTGCGGGCCTCTTTACATTGCACCGCTAAGACAGCGCCTTGCCCTAGGTGCCAACCACGTGCGCGCGCAACGTTGAAGGCATTTGCGCACACACCGCACAACCACGGCAAATGAAGGGCACAGTAGGTGAGCGTCAGCCTGGTCAATGCGTTAGCGCTGCAGGCGTTACCAGCTGGGCAGGGGATGGTGGCCTTCAACTGCGCCGCCGCTCACCGCCTCGACGCCGCAGTCTGCGACCCTGTGCGGGCGCTGGAATGGGCCCCCGAGGCCGCGGTGGAGTTCCCAGCGGCCCAGCAGCAGCCCTCAGCGAAGCCCCAGCCCGAGCAGCAGGCAGGGGCCGCCAAGGCGGGCATCCTGGACAAGCGGCGGCGGCACGTGGGCCCCAACCTGGCCCTGTTCTTTGAGGAGGACCCGCTGCACATCGTGCGGGGCCAGGGCTGCGAGCTGTTCGATGCCGAGGTGAGGCACAGGGGGAGGCCTGGGGCGGGCAGCTGCCGGGCTTAGGACCCTCAGCTGGAAGGCTGCGGGCTCGCTGGCGCCGCACCTCGGCCACTTTGCTCCCTTCCCGCATAACGCATGCAGGGCAACAGCTACCTGGACTGCATCAACAATGTGTCCCACGTCGGTAAGGAGGCAGCAGGGGTCGTCAGGTGTCGGCCTGGCAGCAGCGGGGCACACACCATGTGCCACAGGCCCTCCCGTACTCGCCCTGCCCGCAGGCCACGCGCACCCCAAGGTGGCGGCCGCGGTGGCGCAGCAGCTGGGCACGCTCAACACCAACAGCCGCTACCTGCACGAGGGGCTGGCCACCTACAGCGAGGCGATTGCCGGCACCATGCCCGACCCGCTGCAGGCAAGCCAGCTGGCGCCTTGCTCACCAGCCTCCAACGGTCGTCCACCAACCCACCCCGCTGCTTCTCCACCCCTGCCCTTGCCCCGCCCCTGGCCCCCCCCATGCCTGCCCCAGGTGGTCTACATGACTGTGAGCGGCAGCGAGGCAAACGACCTGGCCTGGCGCATCGCCTGCACCGCCGCGCGCCGTGCGCCGCCCGCGCACGGCGCCGACCCCGAGCCGGCCGAGAGCAAGCGCACGGCGGCGGCGGCAGCGCTGCACGTGGCGGTGGTGGACCACGCCTACCACGGCCACACCTCCGCCTGCATCGACCTGTCGCCGTACAAGTTCAAGGGGCCGGGGGGAGGCGGCCGCCCCGTGCACGTGCATGTACTGCCCTGCCCCGACGTGTACCGCGGGTGAGCGAGCGCGTTGGTGGGCGGGATGCCCATGCTTCACGGTGCCTCTCCGCAGGCCGCAGGGAAGGCCTCACCACCTGCTCGAGAGCAGTGCTCACCCCACGTGTCCTCCTTACTGAACCAAAGCGGCTCCCACCCCGTGCCAGGTGCAACCTGGATGGCGGCGCGGCAGCGCGGGCCGCCATCGCCGAGGCGGAGCGCGGCGGCGCCCGCATCGCGGCCTTCTTCTCGGAGTCCATCCTGAGCTGCGGAGGCCAGGTGGTACTGCCTGAGGGGTACCTGGCGGGCGTGTACCGCGAGATGCGGGCGCACGGCGCGGTGTGCGTGGCGGACGAGGTGCAGTGCGGGTTTGGGCGCGTGGGGCGCGCCTTCTGGGCCTTCCAGCTGCAGGAGGTGGTGCCGGACATCGTGACCTTTGGTGAGGAAAGGGGGAGAAGGGAGGGAAAGGAGGGAGGCGGCCTGCCGCGGCAGCCGCTGAGCAGTCGTGGCTGGGGGATGCGACACTGGACAGCACGGCTCCGGCTGGGCTGGCCCTCCTCTGCTGCCGTCTGCTCCTCCCCACCTCACCTGCCGCCCTTGACCCTCCCTGGCGCAGGCAAGCCATGCGGCAATGGCTTCCCGATGGCCGGCCTGGTGACCAGCCCACCCCCGGGAAAAGCCTTCTCCCAACGGATGGAGTTCTTTTGCAACCTTTGGTGAGACAAGCAAGCGCCGGTGCAACCGAAGGGGGTGCAAGGAGGGTTGTTGAGCCCCAGCCACAGCTGCTCCACCATGGGCAAGCATGGCTCTCGCTGCCTCCGCGGAGGGAGGGCGCACCGCTCCCTGCGGCGCGTGCAGGCGGCTGCACCGCGGCGCCCGCCTGCGGCCTGGCGGTGCTGGAAGTGATCCGTGAGGAGGAGCTGCAGGCCAACGCGGCGCGTATGGGCGCCCACTGCCTGCGCCTGCTGCGGGAGCTGCAGGTGCGGCTGCCTGGGGCAGGAGGGAGGCTGCAGGGTGCTTCATCGCTGGTTGCTTGGGTCCGTGCCATGCACGAACAGGGCCGCTAACAGCCTGTGGCGGCATGGCCTCCTCGGAGTGGCACCCCCAACCTGTGCCCCCTCACGCACACCTGCAGGAGCAGCACCCCGATGTGATTGGCGAGGTGCGGGGCGAGGGCCTGATGATTGGGGTGGAGGTTGTGACGGACCCGCACACCCAGACGCCAGCGCCCGCGCTGGCGCGCCACCTCAAGCACGCCTGCAAGGCACACCACCGCGTGCTGCTCAGCAGCGAGGGGCCCTTCTGCTCAGTCATTAAGGTCAAGCCGCCCATCTGCTTCAGCGAGGGGCAGGCGGAGCGCATGGCGGGGGCGCTGCGCGACGCGCTGGATGCGCTCACGCCTGACGACAAGGCCGCGCTGGCGGCGGCCAGCCGGGAGGAGGTTGAGCGCATCGCAGAGCGCCACCGCCTGCTCAGCTAGGCAGGAAGCATGGCGCCTGCTGCTTGCCACGCCTGCCTACCATCTGCTGCCGACCAAGCAGCACTCCCCATTTCTAAACGACTCGATGACCAACGCAAGCTAGCAAACCACCAAGAACCGTTGGTCCTGCTTTTTCCCAGGATGCTGCCATTCCATTGGTTGCACAGCGACTGCAATTCTTTTCTAAGCCCTGTCAATATTGGCCCCCTTTTCTCCCTTACCATGCCTTTTACATGTTGATACCCTCTAGCTCTCTCCTGTACGCTTGCTTCGCTTTGCGCTGCTTCATTCATTTTGTGCCACACCGTTGTGGCAGGGCCAGCCCTGGTTATTGCACTACCCAACGAACCTCCATTGTTTTTCCACCAGCCCTTTTGTAACCCATCCTTTTGATGGAAGTGAATGGGAAAGCAAGAGGGGATGGGGGCCGGCTGACTGCCTGCCGATGGCGCCCCGCCGGCACCGCCCCAGCGTGCGCAGCAGGAAACCCAACTTTAAAACGCTGCGATGATCTTTGGTCCACGCTGCCCTACCCACTCCCTCCTCCTTTTTCTCTCAATGCTGGTGAAAGTGAATTGATGGCAACGACTGTCCGATGACTCCCGCGCCGCCCCACGCGCTGCTCAGCCTGCTGTTTCCGAGCCAGAGCGTCGACCGGGTGGCGCTATGCGATCGTCTACAATCCGCAGGGCAGTTTTTGTATTCGCGTGACCTGGCGGCGGCGCCCAGGGGCAGCGGCGGGCGCAGCCGAGGCAGCCACTGGCCGCTGGGTTTGGATGTCGTGGATGCGGCGGCTGTGTCGCGGCGGACTGTGGCCCGGGGACCCGAAGGCACCACCTACCTTGTGTCATTGAGCCGGCGGGGGGTGGTTGCAGAGGAGCTGCGGCCTCAGGGCGGCGTGGCAGCACGGCTGGAGTTCCCCGTGTTTACCTCCTGGCTGGCCGACTTGAGGTTGCGCGGGGACCTCGTCAGCACAGCTGTGCACCAGAAGGAGCTCTGGGTGCTGAGCCGCAACCATGGAGGCACCACCCACCTGCTCAGGATGTGCCTGGAGCCGGCGGCGAGCGGCGGCGAGCAGCGGCAGCCCATCGTGGTTCCGCTGTCCGGCGCCCTTCCTCCCACAGGCCGCATGCTGACGGCTGTGGATGACGCCGTCGGCGTAGCTTACATGCTGGCCTGCGGCAGCAGCGGCAGCCTGTCCAGCCTGCGCCTGGAGGATCAAACACCACCTCAGGGGCTGCAAGAGCTGACTGGCCAACGCTGGCCGACTGGGCTGGAGGCGCTTTGCCTTCGTATGTATGCCAGCAAGGTGCGGCTGCTGGGTGGGGAGTGCGAGTGTGATGGAACCCTGCGCTGGAGTTGCTGCATCTTGGCCCACCCGTTGCCTTGATGCCACCGCTGCGTGTTGCCTTCCAGCTGCTCGCCCTCTGCCTGGCGCCGCGTCCTGCTGCTGCGGCTGAAACGAGCGGGAGCAGCTCAGCCGCCTCGGCACGGCAGCAGCTGCAAGTGTGGGAGCTGGAAGTCAGCAGGATAGAGGGCGCCCAGTGTGGCAGGTGCTGGGAGATGGTGCAGGGATCCAGCGCAGACCTGCCCAGCCATGATGGGCGGGGCTTCAGTGTCGACGCCTCCCCCTATCAGGCAAGCATTGGGGTTTGGTGCTTCTGTGTCGTGCAAGGCCCCACACTGTGGCTGGTGCTGTGCCCCTGCTTGTGCAGCACGCCCAATGGCTGGTGCTTCTTAGACCGGCTGCAACCGACGGAGAGAGCTCGGCGGGCGCAGCAGTGATGGTCTATGATTGCTGCAGCAACAGCTGGAGTGCAGCCACCGCAGCTCAGCCGGTTGCTTGCCCTTTGTTGAAGCGTGCGGACCAAGTGGGCGGTAATGAGGGTGTGGCCAGCGGCAAGTACTTTGCGCAGCAGGTGGAAGACACCCGCAGCGCTGCTGCTTTGGGGGCAGCCGCCGCAGCGTTCGCTGCACTGAAGCGGGGCGAGCATGCCGTGCCTGCCAGCAGTGCATTGCAAGAGGTGCAACACCACTGTCGGCAAGCTGTGGCATACGTGGTGGATGAGCCAGGTGGGCCTCATGTGCTGCACAGTTGCCAGCCGGACAGGTTGCCGCCAGCAGCATCAGCATACGACTGTACTTTCTGGTCACCGCTGCACATGCCATGATCCTTCACCAGTTTGTGCCTGCCAGCATTGCAGGAAACTTGGTGGCTGTGTGGCGGGAGTGGGCGCCGCTGCCTGCCAGCAGGCTGGGCGAGATTGCCGCCCCTGCGTCGCTGCCCTACGACCTGCGTCAGACGCAGGCAGTCAGGGCAGCGGCGGCCGCGGCTGGCGGCAGCAGCGAGGCAGCCATCGCACTGCGAGTGGCGGCAGACGCCTCCCTGCCCGCCGTCTGCTGCCCCCTCGCTGTGGCGCAGCAGTGCGGCGAGCTCGTGAGGCTGCTGGAGGTGATGGAGGAGGATGCAGAGGGGAGCGCAGGCGGCAGCGGCAGCGGCCCTGAGCTCGTAGGGCTGGAGCTGCAGCTGGCAGGCATCTCACGTGAGGAGCACGCCGCGCTGCAGCAGCTGGTGCACTGCCTGGCGGGGCACACGCATGCGGGGCTGCTGGAGGCCACCCAGCTGCTGGACGTCACTCGGTGAGGCTGCTGCCGCCGACAATGGCCTTGCTACTGCTGCTGGGCACCTGGCGCCAGGACAGGCACCTCAGGGCCTGACCTTGGCCTGGACTCAGCGCTCTTATGCCCAGCTTGCCCCCGGCTGCCCCCCTTCTCAGGCTTGCCGACCTGCTGGATGTGCCGGCTCTGCTGGCGGAGTGCATCGCCGTGCTGGAGTGCATGGCGCCCGGCCCCGAAATGTTTGCGCCCATGCTGGCGCTTGCGGAGGCTCGGCAGTACAACCCTGCGCTGCAGCACCTCGCGGTGGGTTGTGCGGCAAGGTTCCGGGCACGGGCGTGCGCTTGGCGGGCGGCCTCGCCCGGCCTCGGCCGGCACAGCTCTCCGTTGGGCCTTCCTTTGGTGCCCAGCAGATGTCACCACCCACTGGCTCGCCTGCCCCTCTCGTTCCCTCTTGCAGCTGTTCTACCGCCATGCGCTGGCGGTGTCTATCCTGCTGGGGCAGGACCCGCTGCTGCGCTGGGCGCTGCACGGGCTGCAGGCGGGAGTGGACACCATCCTGGAGGTGCGCTGCGGGAGAAGGCTGCAGCGCGGGCATGTGTTGTGGTGCCAATGCGCGGGCCTGGACTCGCTGCCCCACAACGCAGGTCTGCACCGAGGTGGCTGCCACCTGGATGCCGCTGGACCTGGGGCTGCATCCGGGCTCCCCTGGCGGCGACCTGGCGGCCCTGGCCTCCCCAGAGTGGCAGGCTGCCACCCAGCAGCAGCCAGAACAGCTGCGCCCCCTGCTCGCCGCCCTACTGCTGCTGCTGGAGCGGCGGGCAGACGCCAACCAGCGGCGTGGCGGCGTGGGGCCCCTCAAGAAGGCTCGCGCCGGGCCGTTCCAGTCGGCGGCATTCAGGCCGCTGTCAAACCCAGCGGCGGTGCGCGCGCTGCCCTACGCAGCGCTGGCCCAGCGCTTGCAGCGGGTCTTGCAGCAGCTGCAGCAGGCGATGCCCAGCTTGCAGGCGCAGCAGCGGCTGCAGCGCACGGCGCAGGCGTTCCAGGCGGCGGAAGCTCGGGCGGCGAGGACCGGTGCTTGGGGGGAGAGGGAGGCATTGAAGCGCCATTCGTGGCCGCAGGGCCTGTTGCGAGCTGTTCCACACTTGTAAGCTTGCGCTGCTGCAAGCGTGGCTCAGGCTGAAAGCAGGAGGTGGTGCCAGACCTGGGCGGCGCTGGGCCCGCCGCTCGCCACCTGGGCGGGAGTGGTCTGCTGAGGCTTCTGCGGGGTCCCCACGCCCGTCTTCTCGCGCGGTTTGCTCCCCCCACTTGCGACAGCGTCAAGTGCGGCCCAGCGAGCACCAAAGCGAGCGCACTTTCTGGACGGCACAGCGGGGAGGCGGCGACAGAAAGCATGGCTGGCCGGCTGCTGAACGACCCGGTAAGTTGTGCAGCCTCCTGCCGGCGCCGTGCGCCTCCGGCGCCATCACCCCGCGCTGCCGCCCTCCCTGCCTCCAGCTCGTTGTGCTGCTCGTGGGTGGTGTCCAGCTTCTACTGCTTCCTCGCCCGCCGGCGCCGCGTGATCCCCTCCCCTGAGTCCCACGCCCCCCTGCTGCCCTGCAGGAGGCCGACGGCTGGGAGCGGAGCGACTTCCCGATAGTGTGCAGCACCTGCTTGGGGCCCAACCCCTTCGTGAGGATGCAGAGGGTGAGTGCCGCCGCCGCCCGGGCGGTGCCGCCTGCCCATTGGAAGGGCGCTAGGAGGCTGCCCACCTAGCCTGCCATACTGGAATGGCATGCACAAGTGGCCAGACACCCCCTCTGTGCCCTCTGCCTGGTGCAGATTGAGTATGGCGGGCAGTGCCACATCTCCAACCGCCCCTACACCGTCTTCCGCTGGCGCCCCGGCACCGACGCGCGCTACAAGAAGACCATCATCTGCCAGGAGGTGGCCAAGGCCAAGAACGTGTGCCAGGTGGGTGGGAGCCCCCACCCAGCTGCCGGGCAGAACCCAGCTGTGGCATCGCAATGTTGAAAGAGTGCGGTGGACACGTTGCCGGCTCCTGTTGATCAAGGTGCTGACCTGCTGCCCTGCTGCCGCCGCTGCCGTCGTCCCGCCCGCGCAGGTGTGCCTGCTGGATCTGGAGTACGGCCTGCCGGTGCAAGTGCGCGACCAGGCGCTGGGCATGGCCAACGAGGGCCTGCCGGAGAGCGACCCGGGCAAGGAGTATGCGCTGCAGCGCATGCAGGTGCGCCGCCGGGACTTCGCAGGCTGCGGGCGCGGTTGTGGTGGCCTGCAGGGGAGGCCGCTGGGAGGCAGAGGCCGTGCAGCATGCTCACAGCAGCGGTTGCATCTGCCTCGTGCCCCGCTCTCTTCGCCCCACCTCGCCGCCGCTGCTTGCCGCTTTGCTGCGGGGTTCAGTTTTGCCCGCTCCCAACCTCTTACCTCTCACTATCGTCCTGCTCACACCCCCTGCCCTCCCACCCACCCCCCCATCCCCACAGGTGGAGGGCGACCTGGACCGCAGCCAGTACGAGACCCACAAGCCCAACGACCTGCTCATGAAGCTGCGCCGCACCGAGCCCTACTACCAGCGCAACCGAGCCCGCATCTGCTCCTTCTTTGTGCGCGGCGAGTGCAAGCGAGGCGCCGAGTGCCCCTACCGCCACGAGATGCCCACCTCGGGTGAGCGGCGCACCCTGCCTGCCTGCGCACGCCGCCACGCGCCAGCGCGCTACATCGCAGCAAGGGAGGCCTGTCGCTGCGACGGCTGCTGTGTTGCGCGCCGCGGCGCTCTGGGCTGGCCTTCCCGTGCAATGTCCGCCACCACCCTAGCCCTGCCTGCCGGCCGCCTGCTGCCGACACACACACCGCTGTCCACCTGGGCGACCCCCTGTGCAGGCCCGCTGAGCGAGCAGAACATCAAGGACCGGTACTACGGCGTGAACGACCCTGTGGCCAACAAGATGATGGACCGGGCCAACAAGCTGGCCAAGCTGACGCCGCCAGAGGATCAGACCATCTGCACGCTGTTTGTGGGCGGCGTCACGGGTGCGTGCCGCGGCCGCCGCAGCCCCAGCAACGTCGCCCCTCAGCGCTGCCTTGCCCTGCTGCGGCAGCTCGGCGCGGCGCCCCAGCCTCCCCGCCCTGTGCCGCCCGCCTTCCAGCTGCCTGGCGTGTCGCGCTGCTCCCACACCACCATGCACACACGCACACTCACCCCACCCACCCCCCACCCTGCGCGCCCCCTCCCCGTGCTGCAGACGACATCAGCAAGGACGACCTGCGCGACCAGTTCTACCCCTTTGGAGAGCTGCGCAGCGTCAAGAAGGTGGCATCCCGCAAGTGCGCCTTTGTGACCTACGCTACGCGCGGCGCCGCGGAGCGCGCGGCAGAGGAGCTGGCCAACAAGTCAGTGTGGGGGTGCCTGGTGCGGGCAGGGGATGGGTGGGGTGTGTCGGCACAGCCTTGCATTTGGGGGTCCCGAGCAGTGCGTGCTGACCTGGTGGCTGCATCCCCGCCCCCGGCTGCTGCCCGCAGGCTGGTGGTCAAGGGGGAGCGCCTCAAGCTGCTGTGGGGCAAGCCGCAGCAGCCTCGGCCGGCAGCAGAGGGCGGCGGCGGCGGCGCGGCGGCGGCGGCAGGGCCGGCCTCAGGCTACCCGCCCGCCTACATGCCCGCGGCGCCGGGCGGCGGCGGCTACTACCCGTCCATGGACCCAATGGCCTTGGGCTCCCGGCAGCAGCAGCAGCAGCAGCACGGCCCGCCGCGGGGCATGCCGCGCCCGCCGCCAGGGGGCGCGCCGCCGCCCGTGCCGGCGGCCAAGAATTGAGCCGGGGCCGAGTGGGGCTTCAGCTTCTGCGCTTCGGCTGCCCAGCCCTCTCTGACCCTCGCAGCCCCGGACAGTTTTGTCTTGTTCCCCTGACAGCTCAAATGACTTGATCCCCTTCCTTGGGCTGGTGCAGTCAGCCCTCCACAGTCCTGGTTGAGACTTCTGCTCACATGGATGGCACTGTTTGCTTGTAACACAGCAGCATAGCTACGAGATTGGCAGGCAAGGGCACCAGCTGGAGCGATGCGGCTTCGTCAACCTGTGATTGTGATGTTGGGCGGGGTGTTCAAATAGGGCAGCGGCACCACCACCTCTGCTTGCACCACGGGATGCCTGCTGGCGGCGCCGTTGGCGCAGGGGATGTCGGCCCGAAAGGTGATGTACCAGCGCTTGCCAGCCACAACTTGATAGCACGCCTCCAGGACGGTAGCAGTGGCAGCGCCGGCATCCGCCTCGCAGCCGGCGAGCTGAGGAGGGGCGGCGCCCGGCTGAAGGTAGGACTGGAGCGCCTGCTGTGCAAGCTGGGTTGCCTCCTCGTCTGGCAGAGGCACAGTCCGGAACCCGCCAGCCAGCAGGCGGGCGCCGGAGCTCGCGCCCGGGTACCTGCACCGCACAAGGGGTTGGCGGTGGACGCCTGCCGCACAAGCTGGCCACAGGCGTGCCTTGGTGGGTGCGGACTCATACCGTGGCGCAAAGCCCTCAGACGGAGGCGCGCTGGCTGCCACTGTGAAGGCTTGGGCAGTCACGATGCACAGCCAGAGGCACCTTGCTCTTGCGACCATCTTTCACAGCGGTAGGGATAGCGGTGCAGAGAGACTGACTGAGCAGCAGGCTCGAGTTAGCTCGGGCCAATAAAAGCCACTCAGCAGTATTGCCGTCCCGCCCTGCTCCCAGCTGCCTCCCCGTCTCCCCTCTGGCCATCATTCTAGCTGAGTGAATCTGGTCGCTTCTTTTTCTCTGCCATCAGGCTCCGGTGTGGTTTGCGCCCTCAATCTGGCACCAGCAACACCTGCAGCCATGCAGCAGAGCTGAGGCCATGGCTGCTTGGCTGAGCGTGGCAGCCTGGCTGCTGTCGCTGACGGCAATGGTGCCTGCGCAGCAGACGGCGGCAAGTCGGCCGCAGGCCCAGGCGGCGGCTGGCGCGGCGCTGCAGGCCGCGCTGAGGGGTGACGCCAACCAGCCAACCATCACAGCTGGCAGCGTGGGACCTGCTGCCGTCACTGCCCAGGACCTGCGCCACGGCCTGCTGTGCCAGAGCGGCGCCCCACAGCTGCCCGTCCAGGAGCTGACCATTGCCGAGAGCCATGCCGCCATGCTGGCCGGCCACCTCACATGCGGGCAACTGGTGGATGCATACCTGCAGCGCATAGAGGCCTTTGACCAGCGCGCATACCTCGGCTCCATCCGGGCAATCAACCCCAACGCCAAGCAGGTGGGACGCTGGGCTGGAGGCAGCCCTATGCGAGTCCTGCACTGTGCCCCTGATGCGCTCATCGTGCTCATCTCCTGTCTCCTGCTGCCGCCCTGCCCTGCCCTGCCCTGCCTTGCCCGCCGCAGAGGGCGGCAGAGCTGGATGCTGAGCTGGCGGCCATGCGGGCCAACCGCGCCAGCGCCCTGCCCTCCCTGTTCTGCGTGCCGCTGCTCGTCAAGGACAACATCGATGTTGTGGGGCTGGCCACCACAGCAGGCAACGCTGGGCTGGCAGACAACCTGCCGCTGGCAGACGCGCGCGTCATCGGCCTGCTGCAGCAGCGGGGCGCGCTGGTGCTGGCCAAGGCCTCCCAGGGGGAGTTTGCCTTCTTCCCCTCCTTCTGCCTCTCCAGGCATGACGGTTGCCGTGTGCTGCCCCTGCACTCTGCTGGCGGCCCCACAGATCCCCTTGCGCTGGCCCTGCATTGCAGCGTCAGCGGCGTGGTGAGGAACCCCTACCACCTGGCCCACACCCCGGCCGGCAGCAGCGGCGGCTCGGCAGCTGCCGCGGCAGCCAACCTGGGCATGGCGGCGCTGGGGACCGACACGGGCAACAGCGTGCGGGGTCCCGCCAGCCACACAGCGCTGGTGGGCCTGCGCCCCTCGCTGGGCCTGGTCAGCCGTGCCGGCGTGGTGCCGCTGCGGGGCGACAGGGACACAGTGGGCCCCATGGTGCGCACAGTGGAGGATGCGGTGCGGGTGCTGGAGGCCATGGTGGGGCCAGACCCTGCAGACCCGCTCAGCGAGCTGCTGCACGACGTGAGCCGCCCTGGGGGAGGCGCCAAGGGCGGCAGTGCATGGCTTGGCGCTGCTGCGTGCCGGCAGCAGCTGGTCCCCTCCCTCGCCGCACCAGAGCTGGTGCGGTGGTGATGGCGCTGCAGGTTCCGCTTCCCGAGAACTACACACAGTTCCTTGTGGCGGGAGGCCTGGCTGGCGCCCGCATCGGCGTGCTGCACCAAATCAGGTGGGGCTGCCTCCCCTGGCAGACTGTGACTATGAGCGTGGGCCGCCATCGCTGACATCACCGTCCGTCCTGCTTGCTGCGTGCGCTGCCCATGCCGTGCAGCAACTTGCCGGGAGCGTCCACGGCCATCCAGGATTTGTTCGAGCGGGCGCTGGACGCGCTGCGCCAGGCTGGCGCCGTCTTGGTCGACGACTTCCGGATACGGGGCAACAGCCTGGGGCTGGACTGGGATGCCAACCGCGGCGGCGGCGGGCCGGCCACCGGGCACTGGAACGTGCGGGGGCGGTGGGAGGACCTCTGGGGCTGCCAGTCGCCCTTTCGGGTGGGGCTGGATGCCTACCTGGCGGCAGGCAACACCAGCAGGCGGTACTACAGCCTCAGCGACATCTACACGTGAGCGCCGGCTGGGCTCGGGGGGCACGCTCATGCGGCCTTGCTCCGCATGCCAGCAGCCAGAGCACGGGAGGTGGATGGTTGGCGTCTGGCATGCGTAGCAGTAACGCGCGTACTGGGGTGCCTCTCCGGTGCAGGGCTGGCGCCTACCATTTGGAGGTACAAGAGGAGGTGCTGACGGCGCTGCGGGCGCCCTACACCCCTGAGGAGTACCCCACGCCTGCAATGAGAGCCATGGGTATGGTGTGCGGCTGCTCCTTCTTCTGGCAGGACCCCTGCCGCACTGAGTTCAGGCAGGCAAGCCGCCGCCGCAGCCTGGCATGGCAGCACGAGGTGCATTCACGGGGAGCCACCAGGGTTTGTTTGGTGCCTCATTCCTCCTGGTGGTGCCCTCTCGCCCGCCGCACTTCAGCGCCTCATCCAGAGCATGGATGCGGCAGGCGTGCAGGCGCTCGTTTATCCGACCTGGAACTCGCCGCCCCTGGTGAGCTGCCCCGGCCGGTGTCTGCGCCTCGTCAAGCACACCGTGCCTGCTGGGCTTCCTGGCTGCACCTTCCCTGCTTCCAGCCGCAGCCCCGCTCCCGTCTGCAGAAAGTGGATGAGCGGGCGGCCGGCGAGTACGACGGCAATAACAGCCCCATGATTGCGCCACACACCGGCTCCCCAGCCATTACTGTGCCCATGGGCTACACAGGCACGCAAAGGCCAGGGCTTGCGCATGTCACCTGCCCACCCGCCGCCTGCGCCTCGCTGTGCCCCATCCTGTCAGAACTCTTTGGCATTGGTGGCTGCAGGGCAGGGTCTGCCTGCGGGCCTGCAGTTCCTGGGGCGTCCCTTTGACGAGGGGCAGCTCATCCGCGTGGCATACTCGTATGAGCAGGCGACCCAGCACAGGCAGCCGCCGCCGCTCTTCCCAGAGTGTCGCAGCCCCGACACGGCCGCGGCTGGTGGCGCCTCGCTGCCCAACAGCACAGCTGGATGACCAGGGCAGTCGGTGAGATGCCTGAGGTTTTACAGGGTTTGCCGCTGGCACAATGAGCCGCGACGGTGACATCATGGCAAGGCAGTGCGATAATGTGTGTAAGAGGCATGGAAGAGAGGTATCAATCAACTGTCAGTCACAGACAGGCACGGAAGGAGCAAAAGACGAGAGCAACAGCACCAGTCGGTGGGATTGCCGCCAAGAAGTTGTTGGCCGAGGAGTATTATAAGTTAGGAGAGGCATACGGCAAACGTCAGCGGGAGCAAGCATGGGAGTACAGGCCTCAGGGGGCTGAGGCAAACAGCGCCAGCAATTCGATGAGCAATGCGCCTGAGGGGTGCCTAGCCTACTGCTGCTAGTCACTTGAATCAGCTACCTATTGCCGCAGCAAAGAGTTGGTTGCGCCGTGCCTGGGGTAAAAAGCAGCCGCCGCAACGCCGCCAGTCATGTAATCTGACTGCGTGAAATGTGCTGCTGCTGCTGCTGCTGCTGGCGGGGAGCAGGGAGCCGCCGCAGGCGGCCAATGCCTGGCTGCCCTGCCCGGATGTGAAAAGCTGCGCCCCGCCACTCTGCTGCCCCAGGGGCGCCTGGTCAATGCGGCGCCACGGAGAGGGTGCGAGTGGAGAGCAGGGGCGCAGTGCATGCCGGCACCCATGCCGCCGCCAAGCGCGTGGGCCAGGCCGGGCCGCGGCTCTAGTGTGCTCCGCTGTGGCGGGAGCTGTAGGTGGTGCGGTGGTTGCCCACCACCGAGCGGAAGGCCTCCACAAAGGCGGAGGCGCCGCGTCCCGCGGCCGCCGCAAACGCGCCCACCCGGCTGCCCCCCGTGTAGCGCTCCTCCTGCGGGCGCGAGCCCACGGTCCAGCTGTCGCTGGCGTCGCGGTCCTCCAGGTCGGCGGGGGCCACTGCAGGGGGGGAATGCGGAGGGGGAGGCGGGCCAGGCGAGTCAGACACCCGACGCTGTCGCAGGGCAGTCTCTATAGGCTGCCTGGCTGCATTTGATGGTGGCAGGCATCGACACACACACCCACACACCACATCATCAGGAACACGCGTGCAAAGCAGGCAGGCAGGCGGGCAGGCACCCCCCCACCCCCCTCACCGTCGTTAAAGTCCATGGCCATGGGGATCTTGCGGGGCTGGCCGTTGGGCGCCAGCATGCGCTTGGAGGAGGAGGGCGGGGCGCGCTGGGAGGCCGGGGACATGGCGGCGGGGGTGGCCGCGCCGCTGCCCGACTGGCTGCGCACGCTGAGGCTGGCGGCGCTGGAGGCCTTGGCGGGGGTGGAGGCGCGGCTGGCTGGGGCAGAAGCGGCACGGGCGGGCGCCTCTGCGGCCTGGCCCGCCATGGAGAGGGAGGCGGGGCGGGGCGCCTCTGCCGCGCTGACGTGGATGTGCACGGGCGCGCCGCGCGCCTGGGCAGGCTTGTTGGGGGAGGCGGGTGGGGGCGTGGAGGAGGGCACAGACACCATGAAGTCCGGCTCTGCGGGTGAGCAAGGCACGAGGCATTTTTGTGTGAGCATGAGCGGCGGGGAGAGCAAGGGATGCAAGATGAGGGATTTGGGCACAGACGCACACGGCAGGCTGGCGGCAAAGGCGCACATGCCGTGCAAGCAGGGCGGCCGACGGCTTGGCGGCACAGCAGCACAGCAGGCAGCAGCGGCAGGCGGCAGCAGGCAGCGCGGCACCCACCCTCGTGGATCTCCAGCCGCACCAGCGCCGCCGCGGCTCTCCGCTCCGCTGCCGGCTGCGGCTGCGCCACGGCGGCGGCAGAGGCGCGGGTGGCACGGGGCGCGGGCCGCGCCTGCGCCGCCGCCGTGGCGTCCGCGCGCAGCTCGATGCGCGGCGCCGCGGCGGGCGCGGCGGGCGCGACCACTGCCCCTGCTCCCTTGGCCGCCCGCATCTCCTCCCCCAGGCGCTGCAGCGCGGGGCCGTAGTGCACCAGGTAGTGCTGCTGCGGCCCGATGACGGAGCCGGGGCGGCACACGCGTATGTAGCCCATGGCCTCCTCGGCGCTGAAGCCGAAGTGCTTGATCATGTAGGAGCAGATGAGCACGCCGGTGCGCCCCAGGCCCGCCTTGCAGTGCACCTGCGCCAGGTGTGTGAAGGGTGAGGTGGCGGGTGGAGGAGCGAAGGAGCGACACAGCAGGCATGCCTAGCAGAGCAGAGCAGAAGGCTCGCTAGCCTCTCTGCCTGCCATCCATGCCGCGGCCTCCTTCCCAGCCTCTCAGCCCCCACTCCCCCGACCCGCCACCAGCTCCGGCTCACCCACCCACCACCACGACCAGCCGCCCGCAGTACCCCCCCCCCCCCCCGTCCCCCAGGCCCCCCGCTCACCGCCAGCGCCCCCGGCTCCCGCTCCGCGGTGTCCAGGAAGCGCAGCAGGATTTGCTCGGAGGGGCAGGTGCCGTCTGGGAAGTACATCTCGTGGTGGCGCACCCCGTACTGCGTGAAGCGGCTGGCCTCGTACATCTTCTTGTTCAGCCGCACCACCGCGCCCACGTTGTGCTCGCGGAAGTACTCGATGTAGTCCTCGGGCACTGCAGGAGAGTTTAAGAAAGGAGGCGGGGGCAGCAGGGGGGGTGGTTGGTGGTGGCGCATGGCGGGCGGTGGAGGCAGGAGGGGAGCGGGCAGGCAGGAGGGCAGGCTTGGGGTGGGCAGGCTTGGGGCGGGCACGCTTGCGGTGTGCCACTGCCCATTGGCGGCAAGGGGCACGACAGGCGCTGCGCCCGCTCACTGTATGTGCGCCAGCCTCCAAAGTGCTTGGGCTGCGCGGAGGGGCCAGAGAAGGCCATGAACTTGCCGGGCACGATCCAGTTGAGGTCGCCGTTCTCCACCTGCTCGTAGTGCTCGTACTCCTCCAAATCCAGCTGCTCGCCCTTGTGCCAGTTGATGAAGCCAACCTGCGGCGGCACGCAGGGCAAGGGGCGGCAGGGAGGTGGAGGGTGGGTGGCGATGGGGTCCGGCCAGATGCCCACCACCACCCTCGCAGCGCGCAGCCCCATGCACCGACACGTGCTGGCGCCGCCCGTGCCCCTTGCACGGCATGCCTGCCCGCCTCCCCACGCGGTACAAGCCCACCTCCTTGGCGCGGTACATGCCCGCGATGACCTGCTGCACCGGCAGCTGGTAGGTGGGCACGCCGCAGGATGCGTCGCGGAAGCCGGTGAAGGGCTCCAGCGCGCGCAGCGGCTCGTACGCCTGCTCCGGGGTCATGCCCAGGTGCAGCACGCAGTAGATGCCCATCAGCGCGGCGGCGTTGGAGCGCTTGTGGGGGTGGCTCCCCACCAGCAGGTACACGCGGCGGCCGTTGGACTGCGGGGAGGGGGGGCGGGGGCGGGTGGGTCGGTCGGGTGCGCTGGCGGCCGATAGGCAGGGTGCGGCTGGTGCAGCGCATGCAGGTTTGCTGCTCGGCGGCGGGATATGGGTGGGGTGGGGGGCATGGGCGGGCGCCCGCCGGCAGCGCGCCGTGCCGCGCCGCACCCGCTGCAGCAGCTCGTTGACGCGCTGGCAGAAGCGCCAGGTGTGCGCCAGGTTGCAGGGCCCAAAGTCTGCGCAGAATGGCTCGTAGATGAGGTCGGCGTCCAGATGGACGCAGATGGAGTTGGGCGGGGCGGTGGTGAGGGTCATGGGCTGCTGCAGGCAGTGGAAGAAGAGGCGGCCGGGGATGACCTCCGCCGCGCCACGCAGGTCGTCGGCTCCGTAGGCATCCATGGCAGCGGCCTTGTGGGTGCTGCGCGGGGTGGCGTCGTGGGCGCGGAAGGGCGCAGCGGGGGCCTGCAGGGAGGGCGGGGCAGCGGGGGGGAGGCTCAGGGGCGGGCACACAAAAGGATGGGGATGAGAGCATTGCGGCGAGGGGCGGTAGCGGCGGGGGCAGCAAGGCGGCGGCCGCCCTGGGCTGCACATTGCCCATCTCCCGGCACCTTTGGCCTGCCTCTTGCCCAGGGGCAGGCAGGAGCAGCCCAGGGCCACCGGTGCGGCATGTCCATGCCGGGCCCACAGATCAACCGCAGGGCTGCCAACCCCACAGTCCTGGGCTCCCAGCCGGGCCCCCATCCCGGCAACGGCTGCGGGGGATCGGGTGCACCATCAATTGATACCGTAGTGGCAGCAAGGCGCACCTGAGGTGTAGTGGAGCCTGTGCCACGCAGGGAGCGCGCGGAGACTGGTGGCCGGGCGGTGTGGGGCCAATGGGGCTTGTAATAATCCAGGTTAGAGGTCGGTGAGGGCTCAGGGAGCCTTGGGGATTGGCCGGGGGTGGCGAAAGGGGAGGTGGTTGGCCAGCCGAATGCAGATGCCGCGACGGTGGGCGTGCGGAAGAGGGGCAGAGGGGCCAGATTCACAAACACAGAGTCCCGTCCAATCCAATGCGACACAAGGCGGGGCGGGAGGACCAGCAGGGCCCTCTTTTCAGCCGCCCGGCGCCCGCTGGGCGCAGCGCGGCGGCAGAGCGCAGCAGGCATCATGCACATGTTGTTTGGCGCCCCACAACCCTCGGAATGTTCTAAACCCTAAACCCTGGTCGTCTACCGGCTCGGGCCAAACACGGTCACGGGCAGCCTTGGGCATGGCCAAAACGATGCCGCCCGGTAGCCTCTGAGCCGTGCACCCGATGGAAACCGCTGCAGCGACCGCAGCGGCGCAATTGTGAGGCGGGGAGCCGCACTGGTTTCCACAGCCATGCCGCCTGCCGCGGCCGCCCGCCGACCGGCCGCCGCTGCCATCTGCCCCACTGTGCAGGCGCGTCCACGCGTCGGCCTTGCGTCGGCCCGCACCTGCCGTGACGCATGCACCCCTACGGTGGCCTTCTGCCAACACTCGGCCCAGCTACCAGCAAGGGGGTTGCCAGCACCATCCCCCCGTTTGCTCCGCGACCGACCATGCCGCGGCCGCCACCGACGGGCTCCAGCCTGCGCAGCCGCCCGCCTCAGCTGATGGCACCCCGAGCGTGCAGCAGCTGAAGGCAGCCTGCCACGACGCCGCGGCTTTTGCAGCAGCCCTGGAGCGCCTGACGGAGCGTGGCAGCGGCGGCGGCGCTACCGAGGCTCACGTGGTGGCGGCATGGGCTGCACAGCGCCGCAGCCCGGCCCTGCACCCGGTGCCGGGGTCGGCGCAGGAGGCGGACGCGCTGCGGGCGCTGGTTGCGCTGGAGGAGCTGACGAGGCGCCATCTGGTGGCGCTCACACCCGACCAGCTGGGCTATGTCTTCAGGTGTGCGGCAGCGTGGGCGTGGGTGGCTGGCATGTGAGGTGGCAGCCTGCTTGGGCTGCCTGCTTCCTGCATGCGGCGGTACCACTCCTTACAACAACTCACACAGGGCAGTCACCAAGTCAACCTGTCTTGCCCCCTCCCTGCCTGCAGGTGCTATGTGCTGGCTGGCGGCGAATCCAGGCCGCTCCTGCAGCGCCTGCAGCAGACGGCCTGCAGCTGGAGGGCCCTGGACTTTAGCGCCGCAGGGTTGGCAGAGCTGGCATGGGCCCTTGCCTCCAGCAGCGAGCCTGTGTCAGACGGCTGCCGCCAGTTGCTCCATGCTGCGCTGCAAGAAAAACACATAGACGGCTGTCAGCAGGGCCAGCAGGAGCAGCAGCAGGTGCAGGCACAGCAGCAGCAGCCCAGCATGGGTTTGCCTCAGCAAGAGCACCATGCGCAGCAGCAGCAGCAGCAGGTGCCGCCCCGCACGCCACCGCTGCGGCATTGGAGCGTCTGGTTTGAAGGCGCGCCAGCCAGCAAGGTGGCGCTGCTGCTGTGGGCAGCCGGCCGCCTAGGCTGCCGTCCCTGCAAGGCCTGCACGCAGGCGGCAGCAGCAGCGCTGCTGCGGCCTGGCGCCGGCCTGGCCTCGCTCCCAACAAAGGTACGCGGCTGGGGGGTAGAGGAGGGGCAGGAGGCGGGGCCCTGTCCAACATGCAGTGTGCCGCACATCTCGAGTCGGCATGCACACCCTGAACGCATACCTCTCGTGTCCCTCCCCCGCGTGCAGTCGCTTGGGACGCTGCTGTGGGCGCTGGCCACGCTGAGGGCGGAGCAGCACACAGCGCTGGCACGGGCGGTCACTCAGGCCCTGGGCGATCGCCTGGAGTCTGCCCTGGGGTGGGAGCAGGGCGAGGCGCTGCCGCCTGCAGGAGCACAAGGGGAGGTGGTGATGCCGCGATCATCGGCCGCGGGAGGCCTGTCGTTTGGCGACGACAGCGGCGGCAGCGTGCTTGGCAGCGGGCCGGGTGGCGGCAGCACTGAGGAGGAGGAGGAGGAGGAGGCGGTGCTGGGGGGCGCAGCCACGCCGGCGCCTATGCCTCACGTGGGCTCTACCAGCTTTGGCGAGGAGCGGCAGTCAGGAGCAGGAGGCACCGGCACTGGGAGCAGCAGCAGCTGGTGGCAGGCAGGGAGGCAGGACTTTCCCACCGGCATGCTGAGCACCGTGGTGTGGGCGTGTGGGCGGCTGCGGCACGGCGACCCGCGGCTGCTGCAGGCTGCGGCCGCTCTGCTGCAGGAGCAGGTGGAGGAGATGTCTCCTGGGGACGTGGCCAGGTGGGGATGGTTGGGTGAGGGACAGGAGGAGCAGGCGCATCTAGAGCGGCCTCTGCCGCTGTGCCCTCCCGCCATGCTGGTGTTGCCCTGCTTTCTTCCCTGTGGGAAGCTCCTGCCTGGCAAGTCGCAGCCTGCGACCTCGCCCGCCTGCCTGCAGGGTGCTGTGGGGCCTGGCGCAGCTGGGCCACTGCCCCGCCCCGCTGCTGTCGGCCGTGGCGGCCCACCTGCAGGCGCCGGGCGTGCTGCCCGAGTTTGGTGTGCGCCAGCTGGCCATGACGACACATGCGTTTGTCGCGCTGGACTTCTTCCCAGGTGGGTTGGTGGTGAGGGGGGTGGAGGCCCTGGCTGGGGCTCGGGCTGTGTGTGGGCAGGTGCCTGGGCGGGTGCAGGTGCGGGCCAGGGGGCGGGAGGTGCCTGGCCCGTGCCGCCTCAAGGGCACAGGGCCCTGCCGCTGCTGCCTGCCCCCGTGCCCCTACACCACCCACCCCTCCCACCGCTTGCCCATCCCTCGCTGTGCTCATCCTGCGCCCAGGCCAGGGCTGCGTGGACCTGGTTGCCGACGCGTGCCTGGCCGCCCGCCACGCGTTTGGCGGCGAGCCGCGCGCGCTGAGCAACGTGCTGTGGAACATGTCACGCCTGGGGCACGTGGACGAGCTCTTCTACCTCGCCTTTGTGCCCGGTGAGCAGGGCTGGGGCTGGGGCGGAGGCAGGCAGAGGGCAGAGGGCAGAGGGCAGAGGCACCACGCAGGCGCAGGCAGGGGAGGGCAACAGGGGACAGGGCGCCGCGCGCCTCCCTGCCCCCCGCTGGCAGGCAGCGGCATTGTATGTGGCGCCTTACGTTGCGGCGCCCTCCTTGTTGCGCCACCCTCCCGCAGTCATCCTGCCCAGCATCGAGCGGTACGGTCCCAGCGAGCTTGCTGACGTGGCGCGCGTGTACAGCCGCAACGGGCTCAACCCGGGCGACGAGCGCGGCGGCGGCGGCACGCTGTTTGATGCGCTGGCGCGCCAGACCGTGGATCGCATCCAGGGCGCAGACCTGCAGGACGTGCTCAGGCGGGTGGCTGGCCTGGCTGCAGGGTAGAGGCAGCCTCTGGCTGCCGGCGGGAGGGTGGGTGGGTGCAGTCTCTTGAGCCTGCCAGCAGCTCCCGCCTGTGCCGCGCCCCGTAAGAGGTCTGCTGTCTGCGGCCTCCCGCCTGCCTGCCCTGCCGGACCTCACCTCAACCCTTGCCCCTCCCTGTGCCCACCCACCTGCCGCCTGCTCCCCTGCAGGATCATGACCGCCTTCCACCAGATGGGGCTGCAGCCCGAGGAGCTGCTGGCGGCGGTGGAGGGCTGGGCCAACCAGCGCCTGCAGAAGCTGTCGCCGCAGGCACGCCCCGCCCGCGGGCCCCGCCGCCGCACCCTGCCGTTGCGGCTGCCAACAACACGCCCAGGCCCAGGGCCTGCCCATCTGGCCAGCCTGCTCTTCCTCCACCCCACCCAATGCCTCCCCATCGCCTCCCCCCGGCTCCACCCCCGCAGGCGCTGAGCCTGGCGCTGTGGAGCTTTGCCCGCATGGGCACCAGCAGCCGCAAGCTGCTGGAGACGGCGGCGGCATGCGCAGAGCAACAGCTGGCGGCCTTCACCCCCGCCCAGCTGGCCAAGGTGGCCTGGTCGCTGGCCAAGCTGCGGTGGCCCGCGCCGCGCGTGCTGCGCCACGCGGGCGCCCAGCTGGCGGAGCGCACCGCCGCTTTCAATGACAAGGAGGCCTCCAACGTGCTGTGGGCGCTGGCGAGCGAGGTGAGGGGCGCGGGGCTTGCCGACGCGGGAGGTGTCGGTGGCGGCGGGATGTTGCAGACACCAGGCCAAGCTGGGGAGCCAGCAGGCACAGAGGATGCATGGCTGCCTGTGGCACCTGGCCGCTCGCAGCTGCCTGGCGTGTCCCAGCTGGCTGGGCGGCATGCGTGCAGGGCGAGGCGCTGCCCGGGGAGGCTCTGGATCGCATCGCCGCCAACCTGGCGCCGCGGCTGAAGTCGTTTGGGCCGCAGGTGCGCGCAGGGGCAGCCTTCGCCGGGGAGGGCACTGCTGCGCCAGCTGCCCACGAACCGAAGCCTCCGCCCCTGGGCTGGATTCTCACAGGGCTGCCCCCTGCCCCTCCCCCTCCCCGCCCACCCCGCCCTCCCGCAGTCTCTGGCCAACATTGCGTGGGCGTATGCCACGCTGGGCCACCACCCCGCGGCGCCCCACTTCCTGCGCCAGCTGGCGCACGCCGCGCAGCGCTGCCTGCCAGTGTTTGAGCCCCAGGGCCTCTCCCTGCTGGTCTGGTCCCTGGCCTCCCTGGACTGCCGGCAGGCAGAGCTGCTGGGCAAGTGAGTGTGTGAGTGGGGGGGGCCGGCCTGCATGTGTGGTGCGCCAGCTGCTCCGCCCTGCGCTGGGACATGCTGGCAAGCTCACGGAGTGCTGCTGGCAGCACGCCACGTCAGCCTGCCGTGTGGCGTGGGGGCATGCTTGCACCGCGCTCTGCTGTCGACCTGACCACTGCCGCCACCTGCTGCCTGCGCCCTCCCCCCTCCCACCACCACACCAACCCCACCAACACCGCCGCAGGATTGTGTCCCTGTGCTGCGACCAGCCCAGCCTGCTGCGCCAGTTTGAGGGGCAGCACCTGGCCAACCTTGTGTGGGGCATGTGCCGCGTGGGATACTGCCCCGCCCAACGCTTCCTGGAAGCCGTGGCGCTGGTGGGTCAGCCGGGCTGGTGCCCGAGGTGCCTGGTGCCTGGTGCCTGGGCAGGGCCGTGCCCGGCAGCCGCGGCGCAGACCTCGCCCACCCGCTCCACGCCGCATCCGCCTGCCCGCCTGCCCTGCCCTGCCTCTCCCGCCTGCAGGAGGTGCAGCTGCGTGTGTGCGACCTGAAGCCACAGGAGCTCTTCAACATTGTGTGGGCGTTTGCGCAGGTGTGTGTGTGGGGGGGTGGGGGTGGGGGCCCGGCTGGGCAAGCCCGCTGGTCGCTCTGTTGGGGCCTGAGCCGTGCCCGCTCGTCTCCTGCTCCGCTCGCGGCACACTTCTTTTCCTGTTCCTGCGCCACACGCCTGCTCCGCCCCGCGCCCCACCCTAGTTGCCTCCACCCCCCTCGCTGCAGCTGGGCTACCACCCCGCGTGTCTGTTTGATGCTGTGGCGCTTGAGGCGGCGCCCCAAGCCGTCTCCTTCTCCCCGCAGGAGCTCAGCGGCATGCTGTGGGCTCTGGCCAAGGCGGAGCATGCCACTCGCGCCACCGGCGTCCTGCTGGAGGTGAGCTCCTGGCTTGCTGCCCAGAGGCGTGCTCCCTCCCTCCCTCCTGGCTGCTACTAGTCCCGCCGCTGCCCATCTCTCACCCCTGCATCAGCAGTGGGGCTGCGCACTCCCGGCGGGAAGGCTCCCCTGACTGTAGCTGCCCCAGCGGGCGCTGTGCTGTCCCGCAGGCTGTGGAGCACGAGGTGGCGGCACGGGCCGCCCGCTTCGAGCCCCGCCACCTGGCCATCGTGGCCTGGAGCGCCGGCCAGCTGGGGCACGTGGTGCGGCCCGCCGCGCTGGCGGCCTTGCTGGGCGCCGTGCGGCCCGCGGCCTTGGAGGCGCGCTCCCTGGTGCCGCTGGTAGCCGGGCTGGCGGCTATGGAACAGCAGCGGCAGCGGGACGAAAGGCCACAGCAGCGGCAGCGGCGGCAGCAGCAGCAGCAGGAGGCGGCGCCGGTCGAGCCGGCGGCGGGTGCTGCCGCCGGCGCCCAGCAGCCCAGCCGCGCCTCTTCCCCGCTGGTGCCGCCGCAGCTGCTGGATGGGCTGGTGGGCCGCACCCGCCAGCTGCTGCCGGGCCTGAAACCTTTTGAGCATGGCCAGCTGGTGTATGGCTTTGCCGTGCTGGGCAGCCCGCTGGCACGGCAGGTGCTGCTGCTCTCGCCTGACGGGCCTGCCAGCGGGATGCTGGCGTCGGCCGCGCGCCACGCCCCGCTGCCTGTGGTTGTTGGCCTGCTGTGGGCGGTGGCCAGGTGGGGGTGCTACTCCTCCCCCGGCCTGCCTCGCATCGCCGATCGCCTGCGCCGCACCAGCCCGCAGTACCGCCTGCCTCGCCCCGCGCTGGTGATGCTGGGCCAGGCGCTGCGCAGCATGCCGCCACGCGAGGTGCTGGCGCTGGCTCTGCCCTCGGGCATGCAGCGCGCGGCGCTGGTGGCGGCAGCCGCGGCGGCACGGCGGGACGCGGCGGAGGCTGCCGGCGGCGCACGCGTTGCCATCGGTGGCGGCGGCGAGGAGGCGGAGGCCCGGGGCGCGTCGCGCTGGAGCAGCTTCCCTGAGGACGATGGGCGGCGGCGGCGTGCTCTGGCGGCAGGGGCTGGCCCGGAGCTGGGGGCCGTCGTTCAGCCCCCTGACGACCCTGCTGACTATGAGGAGGGGGAGGTGCCTCTGGGGGCGACGTACGAAGCAGAGGAGGACTTCCAGAGCCTGTAGCCGGCACTGGGCAGGCACCGCAGCTACTCAGAGGCTCCGCACGGCCCCCGGCCTTCCGCCACTGCTCTCTCTGTGATGGCCCCCGTGTGCATGCATGGCAGCCCTGCGGCCCTTGCCAATTGATCAACACAAGTTACACTCTTGCACTGCGAAAATAAATTTTCGCGGGCCATGCCGCTCTCCCGTTCAGTCCCTCACTGCTACTTGCGCTCTGCTTTCGTCGGCCTGCTGCTCTCCTTCAATACTTGTATCTGTTGCCTCCTAGGGTAGTGAACACTACCCAGTGCGCCCGCCGCCAGTCCGCTACATGCGAAAGGCGGCTCCGTCAGAGCGGCTCTCCCGGCGCGCGCGGCGGGCGCTGCAGCTCGGTGTAGGGCTGCAGCAGCGCCGCCAGCGCGGCCACCGCCCCCACGCTGTCCATGTGGTCTGCCTCGGAGGGCACACACGCCACAGCCTCCACCAGCAGCCGCCCCGGCGCCAGCTCCGCTGCCTGCTGCATCGCCTCGGCGTCCGGGGCGGGCGCGCCGGCGCCGGGCCGCGGCAGGCGCAGCACGCGGCACACGCTGACCTCCACCTCGTGCCCCTCCAGCTGCACAGAGACGCGGTGGCCGCGGCGCAGCAGCTGGTAGCGCGGCGCAAAGCCCAGGGCCTGCCAGAAGGCGGGCACGTCGCCTCCGCTGCACTGCGTGCGCGTGACGTGCCGCACCGTGGCAGGCAGCGCCGCGTGCTGCTTGCCGCGCAGGTGCAGGCTGAACTGAAGCGCCGTCCACCTGCACCGGCGGTGGCGGCGGCGGCAGAGGTGAGGGGAGGGCAGCGGGGGTGGCATGGACGCAGCCCACGCGTCAGGCTACCACTGGGATCCGCACCAGCGGCACACCCCACCACACTCACGTGTCTGATTGCACGTCAGTCCTGTTGGCACCGGGCGTCAGATCGTGCTGCAGCCGCAGGTCGGGCTTCCAGGCGGCAGGGGCACCTGACGTGGCGGCGGCGGCGGCGGCGGGCGCTGCAAGCACCACCTCCTGCTGCTCCAGCGCCTCTGGCTGCGTGCCGGACAGCCCTACTAGCAGCTCCATGAGCTCCCCAAGCTGCGCTTCCTCCACTGTCCCCACCGCTCGGCACTCGAGGGCAGCCATCTCCCTCCTGATCGCCTCCTGTCCAGCGCCAAGCTACTCCTGGTCGCAGTCTACAATTGGAGCACCACACCGAACCCCTGCCTGCGAGGTGCTCGGGGAGGACAGACACCACACCCGCTGCGTGCGATGGGATAGCAAGGAGAAGCTAAAAGAAAGCTATTGATAAGGCGAAGTTACTGCAAATGTGTCGCAAACCATGCCACTGTGCCACCTCAGCGAGCGGGCGAGCGGGCGCCCCATGGCGGCACAGATTGGAAGTCGCCTACAGACCGTCTTGCATTCATCCCTGTACCTCACCGGATTCCACGCAGTATAACATACTCCAGGAACCATTTTAAGAAATTGAAGCAACGGCCCTGGCCAGCAAGCGTTTGTGTTTTAGCCAGCCAGCAAGCAGCCGCAGTGGCGACAAGTCGAGCCCTTGCGTGGAATCACCACACTGCCCTGGATCAGGCGCCTGAGGGTGTCATAATCGAGCGCCTCCGCCACGGCCCCCGGCAGGAAGCCCTGCAGGCGCCGGTAGGCATCGTCCGACTCATCATCAAACACCTCACCTGCGGCAGGTGGGCAGCCTGTGGCCCAGCCAGGAGGGTTTCAGCGGGTGCCAGGCGTGGGCTGGCAGGGGGATGCACAGGAGTGAACCCGACCACGCCTGGCACAATCCCAACTCCACATTGACGCCAGGCAATCTCCCAGCAAATAAGCAGACCATCAAAAGCAGCGTGTCAGCAGGAAGAACCTGCTGCCAGGGGGCGCTGCACGGATAATGGCGCACCCGCTTCCGCATTGTAGGCGTGCAGCAGCCTCAGTGTCAGGAGCAGCCCCATCAAGCAGTCGGTCTCGGCGTCCTCATCGGGGTTGCTCAGCCTGTAGGAGGGAGGGCAAGGGTGGGATCAGGAAGTGTTGCAGCACGCGCCAGCTACTCCGCTACACTGCAGCACTGTGCTGAATTGTGCCGGTTGGCCAGCCCGCAGCGGCAGCTGGCTGGCCAGCAGGAACAGCATGTCCCCTTCACCAGCGCTTGAAGTCCAGGGCCATAAGCAGCAGCCTCTGGTAGGCAGCCTTCTTCTCCCCCACAACCTCTGTCTGGCCCTCCTGCTCGATGTCCTGGTTGCGGGTCAGCCGCACCTCGCTCACCCTGTACATGAGGGAGGAGCAGGTCGAGTGGGGTAAAGGGCGGCATTTCAGCCCAGGGCAGCACCAGTGATGCAGTGGATGTGCACAGGCACTTGAGGCTGCTCCAGGCAGCTGGCCTTCTACTCCCTCACCATGCCTGCAGCTGGTCCATGCGCCCCTCCTTGCTGGCCACCGCTGAAAACCGATCCTTGATGTCGCGCGCCACGTGCGACCAAGTGAGGTCGCTGCCCGCAGCCGCCACAGCCGCCACGCCCTCCTCGGAAGCTTTGGCACAGACGGTTGGTGGCGTGCGGCTGGCGGCGTGCGGCGGCGGCACGGGGCTTTAGCGGCAGTGGTGCGGGCGCTGATGGCTGCCAGGGGCTGAACCCTAGCCACAGGCACCGCGTCAGGGTTGTGCAGGCCCAGGGCCCAGACACGCGGCCGTCCTAGGGCTGCCGTCAAAAGCAACGACATAGTGGGCGACTGCAGGGTTGAGCTCAGGGCAGTTTGTGGTTGCAGGAGTTTGTGGTTGCAGGGAGAGACAGAATGGGAACAGGCACCCTCTGCCTCGCTTTTTCAGAGCTCGAGGCTTTCCACGATTTCAAGCGAGGCAATGAGGAGAGCCCTCCCCCTGCAAGAGCAGTTGGCCAACGAAGATTGCAGTAAAATGGCGGCGGAGCCAACTGCGGTGGCCCCCGCCGGGCGGTGGCGCAGCGGCACTTGTGTGGCGCTTCTTCGGCTACCGTGGTGCTGCTACGCTCGCGCTGCATGCACGCCATCAGCAGTGTTGTCCCCAATCTGTTTTCTGCCTTGCGTTCTGCATTACACCTGATGGTGCTCGGGAAGAGGCTTGAGCCCCTCACCGAATAACAACGGCAGCAGCAGCGCAGCCCAGCAGAGGGGCAGAAGCGGCGAGCGCGCTTCAAGCGCGGCGCTCGCCGCCTCAGCCAGCCGACCGACCCATCAGTACTGCTGCTGCATGCTGGGGCGGGAGCGCGAGCGCGGCATGCCCTGCTGCCCGCCCTGCCCCGCCGCGCCGCCCGCGCCGTACTGGGCGCTGGCGCGGGAGCGCAGCTCGTCGTAGCACGTGGCGATGCAGCGCCGCACGTCGGCGTAGCTGACCACCAGCATCGACATCTCGTCCCGGCTCATCAGCAGCACCTGGGGGGCGTGGCAGGCGGGCGGGGCAGGGCGGGAGGTGTGTTGGTGTGTGTGTTTGTGCATGTGTGTTTGGAAGGTGGTGCATCGCATGTGCCTGCTGCCGGCGTGCCTGGCTGGGGCGCGCCCCCGCCCGCCCCGCCCGCCCCACCCACCTTCTCGGGCACCCCCGCGTCCACCTTGTTGAGCGCCTCTGCCGCCAGGCCCCAGTCCAGCAGCGGGGCCCCCTCCTCGTCCACCTGGTGGAACAGAAGGTCGCGGAACAGCTTGAGCAGGTACCTGCAGAGGGGGGTGGTGTGTGTGTGTGAGTGCGCGCGCGTGTGTGTGTGTGTGTGTGGGGGGGGGGCGAGAGGAGCGAGGCGGCGTGGAGGAGGAGGGCGCCGACGGGAGGGGTGCGGCGCATGTGCGACGATCAGCGGGGACATGCGGCAGCCAGAAAATTCGTGACCTGGCTGGGCCGGGCCGGGCTGCAGTGCCAGCCCCTGCCCTCCTGCCAGCCGCCCCACCTGTCCCCCGTCTCCGCCCACTGCGTGTCTCCTCCCAGCTCCGGCCGGTCGCAGATGTAGCACAGCTTCATGAGCAGGCGCAGCAGGCGGCCGTTGTCCGCCTCGCGCTGCACCTCGCCCAGCAGGCCGTCGCTGCAGAGGGGGAGGGGAGGGGAGGGGTGTGGGCTGGGCTGGGCGCGGCAGGGTGGGCTGGGTTCGGGGCGGGGCAGCAAAAGGGGCGCGAGGGCAGGCATGCCAGGTGCTGAGCAGCCCCACACCATCCGCTCCCATCCTGCGGCGCCGCCGCTCCCTCCTCCCACTCCCCAACCACACACAGCCGACCTGCGGCGCCCACCCACCCACCCACCCACCTGTAGGCTGCGGCGGAGTCGAGCTCATCCATCGCGCGGTCGCCCAGCGCGCTCAGCAGCGACCGCCAGCTGGCAAACCCGCTGCCTGCAGGCGCGGCAGGCACAGGCGGGCAGGCAGGCGGGCGGGGCGGCAGCTCGCTTGGCGCCACGCTCCCTACCCCCAACTCCTCCCTCCCGGCCCCTGCCCTGCCCCGCAGCCACGCCGCATGCCCCTCTGCCCCACACAAGGCACCGTGTGTGCCTGCCCTCCCCCTCTCCCTCCCCCTCTCCCGTGCTCTCTCCCTCCCCCTCCCCCCTCACCCTCAGCGCTGGCCAGCAGGCCCGCCACCACGTGACAGAACTCCCGGGAGAAGTGGGCGGTGAGGTGCTCCAGGGAGGGAGGCGCGCCCCGCCCCACGCACGCCAGCAGCAGCAGCAGGTTGCCCAGGCAGGCCAGGTCGTCACGCTGGAGCTGCAAGGGAAGTGGGTGGGGGCGGGCGGGCGAGGCGGCTGGGTGGCAGCTTGGGCGCCGCAGGAAGGGTTGGCGCCCCGCCGCCACACTCCGGTGCAGCTTCTGCGTCGCCCCGGCGCAAGCAGGCACCACCCACGCAACCCTGCACGCAACCCTGCGCGCACCCACCCACCTGCGGCACATCTTGGAAGCCGGCCGCCTCCGCCAGCACCTCTGGCACGCCCAGGCACCCGATGCGCACACGCCCCGCGCTGGTGACCAGCACCTGCGCGCGGGGGAGGGGGCAGGGAGGGGCGCCAGGGAGGGGCGCCTGAGCCAGGCTGCCGGCAGCAGCGGGCGCGCCGCACGCCAGCGCCCTGCTGGCTCCACTGGAGCCTGGGGCTGGGGCTGGGGTCTGGAGCTGCCTGCATGCCCGCCTGCCCAGCGCAGCTGCCCCTGGACAAGTGAGCAGCCCACCCTCGCACCCACCCCCCCGCCCACCCTGCCCCACCTTGGAGGGCATGAGGCAGCCCGGGCGCGCAGCCAGCCCCGCCTGGTGTATGCAGCGCAGCGCAGAGGCCAGCTGCACCAGGTAAGACCACAGCTGCTCCTCGCTGGCGGGGTGCCGCGCCAGGCCCTGCGCCGTCTGCGTCGGCAGCATGTGCGCCTGCTCCAGGCTGTAGGCGCCTGCGGGCGGCGGCGGGGGGGGCACCGGGGCTGGTGGCGGGTGGGCAGGCCTGAGGGCGCACCAGGGGCTGCGGGGCTGCGGGGCTGCGGGGCGCTGGCCGCGCGGGTGGCCTGCCGCACGAGGCCACACTGCACACACTATGACAGCGCGGGCAGGCGCCCCAGCCGGCCCTGCCCAGCCCGCGTTTCTCAGCCAGCCGGCCCCAGCCTGCCCTGCCCAGCCTGCCCTGCCCTGCCCAGCCAGCCTGCACCCCACCCTCCCCCGCCTCACCCGGGTGGTAGTCGTGTGCGAAGAAGAGGGAGGGCGATCCGTCCCACTCGCTGGACACAAAGGCGTCCCGCAGGCCCGCCAGGTTGGGGTGCCCGCCCACCCCCTCCCACCGCGCCACAGCCGCCTCCGCCGCGCCCAGCAGCTCCGCGGTGGGGATGACCTGCGGCGCGGCGGGGTGGTTGGTGCGGCAGCGGTGTGCGGCAGCGGCGCTGTGTCGGTGTTGTGGGCGAGGGCGGCAGAGGCGACGGCCGGTGCCGGCAGCGCGGCCGGCGCGGCGCCGCGGGTCGAGGCGGGACCGTGCTGGGCGGGCGGGGGGCTGGGCGGGCGGCGGCGCGGGCGACGGCGCCCACCTGGCGGCCGTCGATGCGCCGCAGCGCGTACGCCTGACCATCGATGCTGCTGATGGCCTTGGCAACCTGCGGGCAGGGCAGGGCAAGGCAGCCAGGGCAAGGCTGGCAGGCCTCGCTGTCGGCACCAGCGCTGCGCCGCCGCTCGCCCGCCACGGGCTGCTCAGGCAGCCTCCCCGCGCATTGAGCCATGCCCACGCCATGCCCCCACATGGCCCCACCCCACCAGCGCAAACTCCACCCCTGCACCTAGACAGACATAGATACCTGCATTCACACTGCCACCACCACCACCACCCACACACACACCTGCGTGGTCACCCCCAGCGCCTGCGAGCTGCCCTCTGCCGCCGCCGCCACATCCTCCAGCGGGTAGAGCGTGTGGTAGCCCGCCACCACCTGGGGCACACCCAGGTCCCCCTCAGCCTCGGGGTTCACCTGGGCAGCCACCAAGTAGGCGCGCTGCTGCAGCTCAGACCGCAGCTGCTCCGAAACAAACAGCCCGGCCTTCTGCATGCGCCCAGGGGCGGAGGAGTAGGCGGAGGAGGGGCGGCTGGCGCTGCCGGGGCGCCGCCCGCGCCCGCCGCGCCCGCCGCGGCTGGCGGCGGCG